TGAGACGACGAAGACGGGTTTGCGCAAGGACCGCGGCCGTCTCATTCTCTTCCTCGAGACCTCGATTGGGGCGCCTTTGCCGACGCCGAGTAATGGCAATAGGCTTAGGGGATTCGGTCAGCACCCTCCTCGGGGACCCCTGCCCCTGTTTCTTCCTACCTCCTTTGCTGATCAGCTGGACTCGCGGTGACCGCCGCAGCTTAAAGCCACGAGGGCTACCCCGTTGCCCATTCAGGGAAGACATGGTGGCACTGCCCCGGCCATGACCCTCCTGCTGGCGGGATTTAATGTCCTTAAACGCGCCATATTTGTTTTCCATAGACGCCTGTTGCAACCTCTCTTCGATCGGCTGGTCATGGTTAGCACCATCACTTCCATCATTATTTAAAAGTTAATTGATGCTATTTATTCAAACCTTTTCAATTTTTATTTTATTTTATTCAAACCTATAGAAATTCTATTTATTATCCAAAAGTATTGTAACTGATCAAAGTCTGGGCATTCACTTTGTTACCGTTACTTATTTCGTAATGGAGCTCCAGTGCTCCACGTAAGCATCCACGCCAGCGTCCACCTTAGATATAAAAAAAAAATAATTTATTTTTTCTCATATCGCTAAAGAAAATAATTAGAAATTAAAAAACTCCATTGGGTCTGCAACTCCATCGCTTCTTCTTCCTCTATTCTCCGCCTCCGCCTTTGCCTCCACACCACCAAACCTATTCCCACTAAACCAATCCCCATCGCCGAACCCCGCATGTCGTTGCCCTCGCCCGCCGCCGCCCAAGTCCGTCGTTGAAACTAAGGAGGACATCGACGCCATTGCCCGTCGTCGATCTGGAAATCTAGATCTATGACAAAAAAATCAGAAGAGGGGTTTTGGGGAATCGAGTTTGATATGGGGTTGGGCGCCTGAAGGGAGCAGAGATCGGGAGGATTGCTTGGACTAATGCTGATGTTGGTGCTGGTGCAGGAGGATTGGAGGAAGATGAAGAGGAGACGACAACCTTCTCTGATTGGGCTTCCGATTCCGACAACGGTGACGAGGGATTTCCCCATATGCCCCTGCAACGGCGACGACAGCCAAATCGGTGAGGAAGATGGCGGGTGGAGGGTTCGCCGCCACTGGAGAGGGTTGCGAAGAAATAGATCAGAGAAAGAGATCGGAGGAGTGGGGAGGAGTGAGAGGCGGAGGGTGAAATGGTGAGAGGGGAGGAGAGAAGGCGTGAGTAGGGATGACAATTATAGCCGTAACCACGGGTATCCGACCCTACCCAACCCGGTCAATCAGGGTAATTCCCGCATTGACCAGGTATGAGGGGGATACGGGTAATACCCGAAAAGAAGCTCGCGGGGACGGGGCAGGTATGGATTTGAGTGCCCCCGCCCCATTGCCCATACCCATATCCTCCCCGCCATTACTTATTTCGAATAACGTAATCCCCCAATAAAGCTGAAGGGTTATTGTAATTGTAAAACAAATAAGTACTAAAAGTTTAATTTCATAAAAGCCACCCTAATTTCCTTACGCGTCTCTAACTCTACCCTAGCTATTCTCTTCAAGTCTTCAGCCGTCAAGTTTACCCTCCCTTCACTCAACAAGGCAGCATTTAAACCTCCTCTTTCACGTCCTTATTCGCCGGTGCTCCTACCCTCTTCAATAGCATCTCAACCAGAACACCACCACCCCCTGACCCTTTGTTGCCTTCCTTTAGTTCGTCGGTTCTTTTGCCCATCGTCCGTTCAGCAGTGTAATAGTGGTAATAACATTCGGCTCATACGTCCTTCCTTCATGTGTGGATTTTTATAGTTTAGTAGGTGTTTTGGAGATGAATAATCTGGTGTTGGATTATTTATTGGTACTTTGTTTATGGAACTTCGTAGGAATTGGATGACGATTATCAGTGGTTCTTTATTAGGTCCATCATTGATTAGGTTTGATGTTTCAACCCAGTAGTTATATGTTTTGTTGAGTTCAAGTGTGTTAATTTAGTTATAATCATAATCAGATGTACGGGGCGGGGACTACCCTCGGGTATCCGAAATCTGCGGGGATGGGGATACTCAAAGAAAGAACCAATAACCTTGTCTGGGGATTGGGGAGTGCGGCAAATACAGCAGCAACAATAATCCTTTCGAAATAACGTATTTGAGTCGTTAATTATTCTGCAGAAAGAAAAACTACAATGTCCGACAAAATTAGAAAAGCAACTTAATGTCGTAGGGGTGGAAGAGTCAGGGGCAGATACATGCATGTCTAGGAGTGTCCCGGGACACCCCTAAAATTTGGAAACACGATTATTCAACCTCCGATAGTAGTTTTTATATGAGGAAAAAAAATGTTTAAGTGGTAGTGGGACACCCTTAAAATTTGGGAAAACAATTATCCAACCTCCCATAGTAGTTTGCGTATTAGTACAAATAATATTTTAGTAGTAGTTTATGTGATTTAAACTCGAGGCACTGCCACTATTAGTAAACATATTTTCAATTACACTACAACTCATTTGTTACTGTGTTTTAGATCCAAATATTATAGTAAAATGTTATTCTTATCCCAAATTATTTTTAAAACCTAACGATTAAACCCAATTACTGGATACCCTTTTCTAGTAGGATATGTCGAAAGATCATTGTTGAGCAGTATAGACACCGAATGTATTTTACCCTTTTACAAAACATGTCTGAACTTTTAATGTAAATTTTATTAGTCAGATATTTTCATATTTAATAATTATTTAATTTAATTTTAATATTTAATTTAATTTTTGAAGAGGTCCCTATGTAGAATTTCTGGATCCGCCACTGGAAAGAGTACAATAACAATGCAATGAATTAATATCAGGAGCACTCAAGAAATAAACATCAACATAATTGCCACTGGAACATAGGAAAAGGGAGAATTACCTAGGAATATCTTGTTTGGTTGGGTTGATGTAATTCAGTAATTCAATGAAGGTGTCATGATGACATCCAAACCAGCAGATTGTCGTCGTTGTAACCGAGGTCAAAGAGGATGTCTTTGAATCTTATGTCCATGTTGTACTAAAATCCACCAGCGCCTTGCAACGTCGCTGCGTCCTCTGTTTTCTACATACACCCTTCTGATTTCGGTAAGCATTACCACCAGAACCCTGTTTGCCGCGAACCCTTTTCCGTGAGAACATCTCTATCGTCTGATTCCATTTCTTTGAATCACAATTTCTTCTCCTATGCCTCTGTCGACACATGTTCTACTGGTTGCTCCTTGGTCGCTTCATTACCGACATCCGGTCGCGCTGCATGCTGCTGATGTGTCGTCAACCGCCGTGTTGATCGCAACAATCTGAGCGCCTTTGCCTCAAGACCATACTTGGTGAGATTGAAGACCCGATGAGGTGATAGTTGTTGGTGGTTTTGAAGAAAACGTTAGAAGATTGAATGGCGGGGCGGAGTAAGGGTCACTAAAGGGAAAGGGAAATCTAGGGGTGAAACCGTTGATTTGGGGAGAAGGGTTGAATTAAAGGGAAAATGGAAGAGGTGCCCTCTGCCCTGGTTTCTTTTTTTTTTTCGAGGAAGGAAAGAAGGAAGCTTTTAAGGGGATGACGGGGATAGTTGTGCGTTGAGTAAAGCTTACGTGGATGGGGTCTGATTCTGAAAATGCTTTAATATTTTTTAAGATAAAAGAATCCAAAGTGTGTTCATGAAAAAAAAAACTCCACAAGGATGTCGAAATTCATGTTGCCAGTTGCCTGTTTTCGAGTTCTGCAAAATCCAAAATATCATCGGTAAGACCATACAACAAAATAGTGCATGTTTCTTCTTATTGGAAAAAATGCAAGCATTCTGATCTGTGGTCGATGAAGCCGCAGTATAGCAGCTCCTGGACATGGAGGAGGCTACTCAAAATCAGGGATAAGATAAGGCCATGGATTCAACAGAGGAATGGTGAGGTTTACTGGGGTACAAAACAAATGCAAGTTTATTCTGTTCGATTGGTCTGGGATTCCTTGCGGGTCAAGCAGCCAGAGGTGCCATGGTATCATTTAGTCTGGAATAAGCTCTGTCCTCCCCGATTTAGCTTTATTGCCTGGCTTATTATCAGAAATTCTATAGTGACAAGGGATAAGCTTCTGAGCTGGGGGAAGATTACTATCGCCTCTTGCCCATTGTGCACTTTCCCGATGGAATCGAGAGAGCATCTGTTCTTACATTGTTCTTTTGCTCGTCTGCTTGTCTTGAATTTACACTGTAGATTGTTTGAAGCAGGTGGCTGGGATTTAATGCTGGCCGCAGTCTGCACATTGGTTCGACCCTCTGGAAAGGTGAGATGGCATGGAGTTATGTGGTGTATGGTGTTGACTTATATTTGGCGTGAACGATGCAGAGTTGTGCATGGTGGAGCACTGCCAGACCCGGAGAAAACTGCTGCTCAGCTACAGGCAGATCTACGTTATCTGGTGGCTGGGAATGCCATGTTGCAGGGAGACCTGGCGAGTTTGGGATATATTTGATAGTATTTTTCTTTGCTTGTTCGAGTGTTTTGAGTAATTGAGTAAGCAGTTATAGGTTGAGTGGAGGTGAGGAGGACTTTTGACATTTCTCAAAGCATTACTGCTTTGATTCGTTGTATTGGTCTTTCTTTTCATATTAATAAAAAGGAGGGAAACTGATTCAACGAAAAAAAAAAGAAAAAATACAAAGAAAAATACCGTACTGTCTTCTCTTAATTGCCATATGGGAATGTGTGAGTATACTTGAGGAAACGAACCCTATAGAAATAAACAAATAACTGGTGGTAAGCTAATAAATAAATAAGTTAACATGATTAAACATACTGAAGTTGTTTATGAGATTACCAACCTGGTTTAGGTGAATCATCGGAACAACATTTGGCATGACATTCATAAAAGAAGTATTTGGAATAACCATACCTGTAAGAACATTTTAATTAATTAACTAGGAGTAAATATTGAGTATAAAGAACCAATTACTACTGAAATGTATTATTCAAATTTTTACCGAAGGATTTGAAGTTGCAAAATTTCCAACTCCACTAGCTTGAGGCGCAAGAGATGGAAATGCTGGATACTGTGCATTCCTTGCATACTTGAGATAAAAACTAAATGAGATAATTGATAACTAATAAAATAGTACAAATTAATAGTCATCCTTACATACTTGTTGCAATGTTGGATACTGTGCATTCCTTTCGAGAGTCATTTGTTCATGCATGGTATTTGATAGAGACTTTTTTCCTACAAGGCAAACAGTTCAAGGATTATCATATCAAATAATGATTTTAATAAAGGAGTAAAGAAGAATTAACTCTTACTCGATGACCTTTTTTATTTATTTTGGCTTACGCTTTTCAAAGTGTCTTTTTTCTCTTGTGTAGTTCAGTCCTTTCGACTTCACACATGGTGGATCTAATATCGGTTCCGCATTTGTGTAAGTTTCAGTAGCCTCTTTGTTAATATGACCAACCAAGTCTACATTTTCCAACTCTTGCTCTGGCTTCATTTCAAGACTCAACAAACTTTCTTGAAATGTTTTTATGATGCTTTCAGTGTGTTGGCTTTTGTATATAAGATTGCTAATTATGCGCATTATGGAGTTTCGCCATACAATCTTTGCCTCTTCATTGGTCTTCCTTGAAGAATATCCTTTCTCATATCCCATCATCCCTTTTTCTGCTTCTTTTGTCCAACGTTGCAAAATATAATCCTTAGGCAGTTTTGTGATATTTTTTATACTAAGGATCCGTAGAGCATGACAACAAAGAATACCTTTCGCCTCAAACTTCTTGCATGAACAAAGAACTTCATTCTTCTCTTCATGAAAACGAATAGTGCAAATTCGACTGTGCCCCTCTTCCTGCACCTCATAGGTAGACATTGATTCATCAAGTGGAAGAAGACGCCACTTGGGAGAAATTGGCTGCTTTCAAAAGACAGTTTCCCGCCTTTCCAGCTTAAGGAGCTGCTTTTGAAGAGGAGGGGTGTACATGGGTCGGGTGGTTCGGGTTTAGTCATTTTAATCACCCGACCCATGCACTACGGTTTGGGAAATATCAAACTCAAACCCACCCAAAAAAATTTAAACCCTACGGTTTGTTTCTAATTGGGTTGGGTCGGGTTGACGATATTTTTAAGTAAAAACCCAACCCAACATAAAATATATAATTATTCTACATCATAAAAATATTTTATAACTAATTAAAATTTCAAACGAATGAACCAAGGTGAAAGGTATCAAAATTCACAAATGTTGTTTAAATTTTAATAAAATGTGATTTACTTCAACATATATCTTGTTTTTTTCGCGATATTTGTTGAAATAGGCTAAAAATGTTATAAATAAACGCATCCATCATATGTTATTCTATTAAAATTGTACACAAGAAAAAGGATTACGTGAATTATAACTATATTCAATTTATGTCTAAACTTTAAGTCGAAGAATGCATTAGATTAGGGAAACCATAAGAGAAAAATATGGCGAAATATCTTAATTTTCTCATAAGTATATAACTATATACCACATAAATATTTTTTAGATCCGAACTCATACTAATAGTTGGAACACGGGTTAGGTCGGGTTCTACGGGTTGTGTAATCAAAAATCCAAACCCACCCCAAAAGAGACTGTTGTAAAAAAAAAAAAACCCCACCCAACTCAAAACCCTCGTTTTAGCGATAAATACAGGTGGGTTGGGTCGGATTGGACGGGTGGGTCAGTTTGCGGGTGTGTTCATTATTAGTGATATGAAGAATTCAGAAGCAATTTTGATAATTATGAAAAAAGATATTTAATATTTGATGGAGATGGTATTTTCCTGAAAAGAACATGATTTGATGAAAACCAATTACTCGATGAGGTTCACCATGGTAGATGTACTGGGGAGAAACACAGTGAGAGGAAGATGTTTAAAATGGAGCTGAACTTTTTTTGGAGGAAAATATATAATTGAACAGACTTATTTCTTATAGATGATCCAAATACACAAGTTGTTTCCTTCGCCAAGAATGGGAATCAATTAGAATTTTGAAAGTTTAATAAAAAATAGAAATAGAAAAGATAAACGTCAAGTAATTATTTCAAGAAATTGGAAAGACGAGAGATGAAAGCCGGAAATGATACGAGGACAATAATTAAAAGTAACTCTTCCACGTGTCCATTTTCTATTGGGTTGGTGTACCACGTAGTCAAAGTGACGTGGTAAGCCGGGAGTATACAAGATTTTCTCGTTTGTTCACCCCTAGTTTGTAACAGCTCAATTGACAGCTGGCAAGTGACGTGTACAAAGGGATTACTTATATAAATAGAGAGACGTATTACAATTGGGGATCTTTTGACCAATAACTGATTGTCTAGCTACTTTACCATTTAGTGATAGTCATAACAGAATTAGCTCTCTCTCTCCTCTCCATCTTCGTCTTCTTCCTTCCAAATCCCTATTTCGCCAGAACTCCCCAGCAAAGGACCTTACACCGCCACCATGTCCCCGTCCTGTTTTCGCTTCTTTATCGTGGTATGCTTTTGCGTAGCCATCGTTCTGTTCTCTGTCGGTCTCCGAGTCGCCATCGTCGGGCTCAGCTCGAGCCCCGCCGCCGTCTCTCCTCCGCCACCGCCGCCGCGCTCTCCTCCGCCACCGCCGCCGCGCTCTCCACACCTCGCATTGTCGTACGACGCCGCAGAGAAGCTCCGGGCAGCCGGATTCTCTACCGATGCTGAGATTCTGTTTACTTCGGATTTTTTCCCGGCCACAGGTTCCACCTATTTTGCTGTTCTTGATTCAGGCTTTCCCGCCTCCGTTCGCCTGTGGCGGATGAGATTCGTTCTCCCCTACCAGACTACATCAATCCTACTCCCGATCGAGCTCCTGGTGGCTGTTCCTCTCGGGACCTGCTTCCCCACTCGCATACCCGGAAAGTATCTGACTATCACTCACAGCGGAGCAAACGTGACGGTGAATGGACTGAAGATCGCACATCCCAACCTGGTCGTCGAAGGGCCGATCATCATTCACGGAGTTGTTCGTGCTTTCTCGTTTGGGAATTCGGATTCGGCGTGCGGCGGCAGAAGGAACTCGTCCTCCTTCGTAGACTTCAGAGATTGATCAGGTAATATTCTCTACTGAATGAAGAAAACAAGCTGTGAACATGAGCAAAAATCCAAGGTACCGAGTAACAGAATTGACAGGTACTTCTGGCAAACTGGATCTTTCGAATGTCCCTATGAACATACAGTATTTGTTGAAGAAGTGAATGATTTGATTACGGTTAGCTTGTATGTGAATGGTATGATGTATGCAAGTAGTGCTGGAATTTTGATTAGCTTGCAGACTCTTGTGTTTACTGGGTCTGAGTTTGTTAACTAGTTTAGCTATATTTGTGGGGTGAGGGTTAGTGGTAAACATAGAGATTCCGAGAGTGATGGGAGTGGGCAGTAAGTGCTCTGTATATGTACTTCGAATTAGTGTTGAATAAAGGTTGTCAGTTTGCAGCTATTTGGTTTTTACATGTGGTATCAGAGCCGATAGCAAACTGTAACCACGTTTCTAAGAGTGTGATTGAGTGTATGTGATCTTCACGCTGGGGCGAGAGAAGAGAAATACGAGTGATTAAGAGGTGAACTCCAACTGCCGCGAAGAAGAAAATCATGGGTGAGGACGACAGCTTTACCCAAATTTGCATACCCAGGTTTGATGGTGACTATGACCATTGGAGTATGCTGATGGAGAACTTGTTAAGATCTGAAGAATACTGGAGTGTTGTTTGTGATGGGATCAAGGAAACTGGTGCAGAGATGGAGTCTGCAACTCACGCCAAAGCCTTGGAAGAATCCAGATTGAAAGACTACAAGGTTAAAAACTACTTGTTCTATTCAATCGACAAGACCATCTTGAGAACAATCTCACAAAAGTCCACAGCAAAAGAGCTCTGGGATAGCATGAAGATTAAATTTATGGGCAGCACTAGGGTTCAGAGAGTTCGACTGCAGTCTCTTCGAAGGGATTTTGAATTGTTGGAAATGCAAGATGGCGAGGTTGTGGCTGATTACTTCGGAAGGGTGTTGGCGGTGGCCAATACCATGAGAAATCATGGTGAATCTATGCCTGATGTCAAAATATTAGAACTTTTCCCCCTGTTTTTCTGTTTTCATCTTTTATCCAAAATCCCTAAATAGTTTCAAAACCAACCTTAGAATCTCAAGGAGTTCATAGTTTCTGGGTTTACTTCACAGACAAACCTCATTCCCACAGCAGCAGGACCAAGCCCCCATACCGCGATCGCTATCCAGGCTACAATCGAACTCAATCTTTTCGTTATTGTTATTATGGTCACATGCTGAGTGAATATGTTTATTCTTGGAATGATTGTCTTCTCTAATGGTCCTGTTAGGATGCTACACAATCTGTTTCTTGATAAGATGAAACAACAAATATCTAATGCACATTTGTCCATTTTTATGGAACAACAGAAACTGAATTCTTAAGGGGAGTGCTGCATATATTTAGTTACTAGCCCATTTCTCTGTTGGCTCAAATGGAAGGAGTTCTGCAGCTTTCCCTTTCATATGTATGCACACAATCATTGGCGAAGTATTCTTTTGGTTTCTGTTTAAATTAACACAAGGTGCAGCCTATTTTATGGTTTTCAACGTTTGTTAGGATATTACGTGTCTATTATAAACAGTACCAGCGCCATTTGTTGACAAGAACATAGAAAGGGGTTCTGGAGTCAAGTTTCATGACAAGGTACTCTCATTCCCCTCACGTATTAGGAAGTTATTTCTTTGTGTATTCCATTACTATACTTCGATATACATTGCTTCAGGTTGATCAATCTTAATACTGATTATTTAGCCTTTTCTTCAGCTGTATAGCCTTCCGGATAGTGGAAATGAACTTATACATATTGGTCCTTCTGTGTAGATCAGTTAAGCTCCAGCAATGGCAGGATGGAGCAGCCATCAGAAGCCGTGAAAGTCACAAGCAAAGTGAAATGATAAGTGTCTTAGATGGTCCCGGAGACCTCAAACAGTATTAATCTCTAATTGGTACTTGGTAGGTAACCCTTCTTTTGATCAAATGCACCTTACATAGTCATCTAATTTAGTATGATTACTGTATTCCTTCCAAAATACTATTCATCGTTCCTTCTTGGAATGGATTGCCTATATGTATTTTGTAATGGACTGTCTATTAGAGGGATTGAGGGAGCTTGGTGAATGGCGAAGCAGTAGCCATGTCATTGCCTCATGTGAATGAATATTCTAAAAACACTCCCAATGCTTAGACTAATGCATGTCTAGGTATATATTAACATTTTTCTTTGGCTTCAACCTTAAAGCATATCTCATTTTGTGATATCTTTTTAACCAGGTTGCCCTATACTTTTCTGTCATTCTTGCTCTACCGGGAGTATTTGTCAATGAATTTAGATGTCTGCACAAGCTTGTCATTTATTACTTTCTAGGACTAGACTACAATCTGCTTGCCCTCTGTTCTCATTTCTTCCAAAAAAAAATAAAAAATTATATACATTTGTAGATTCACTTTCCTGAAATCTGCTTGCTCTTTTATGTTAGACTGAAATCTGCCTGCTCTATTTCTCTTACTGATTCACTTTCCTGTACCAGCTCAGCTCGGCAACCCAATCCTGTTATATTGACCAGGCTACAGTCGACACCACCTCCAATATTTGAATAATCCTTATCGAACCGAGATTCTGCTTCATTCTAGCACGATTTTCAATATGAGAATTAGGTCCGTGAAGCTGTGGTTTCAAACTTACTGTTGGGTACTTGACCTCTTGGTCGTTGTCATTATAAATTCAGGTGAAGAACCTTTTTGCCTTATTCCAAATCCTTTAGTTGGTGTTTTTTAATCCATTTTTCGATTGTGTGTTTGTTTTCATTAGGACAAGGCTCCTTACAAGGCAAAAGCATGTAAGAGGGAAGGTGAATATGAGTAGACCATAGAGGTTTACGACAGGAAACATGTACCAAATAATCCTTCTTCCCGTTTTAGATTCCTATTTATAGTTCAAAACTCATTCTTACAGTTTCTTGCCTCGATGCAATTGGTAAAGAATAATAGGCAGGAGGTCATGGTTCTGAGAAGTTCTGCCTGGCAAATTCGATGCAGTTGTTGTGGTAGCTCAACTCAGCTCCTAAATCAGGTGGAGGCAAGCTCGTTATAAACTTGAACTGTAACCCTGATCAATCAGGAACTGTTGTCGTTTGGTCAGCAAACACGATGATCTTATCTCCACGCTGCTGTTCATGAAACCGTATCAGAAACTCACACGCTCTGAACTTGTTAGGGTTCATCACATACAACAGTTTCCCCTGTGAAGAATTTCCCCTCCTCAGATACTCTGCAAAGAGTTCCTTCGTCATCGGGCACCATACTTCAGCACACTGGACATTCGCAATGAACCCACCTTTCACAAGGTCCAGCCAGTTGGCTTCGTACAGTTTGGGACCGATGAGGAAGTTGAGATCTGTGATCCTTTCGTCCTCTCTCACGAGTGTTGCAGTAAGCCCCAATTTGCAGTGAGACTTGGTCAAGCTGATGACTCTGCGAAACATTTGTGCAGGAACCACATGGACCTCGTCCATCAAAAGAAGCCCCCATTCCCTGTTCCTGATCTCTTCCATCATCTTTTCAGATTCCTCTGATCTTTTACCCCCATAAGCAACCATGTTATAGGTTGTGATCACCACAACTCCAGCGTTGTTGCCCTGCAGTCTCCTCTCTTCCTTGCTGTCAGAAGTGAAACGACGAATTTGCTCATCCGAAATTGTCAACCTCAGCTTAAACTGGTTGTACCACTAATCGACCGAGACTGCATTCGTTGCTAGACAGAGGCAACTTTTCCTTATCCGGGTTGCAGCTGATACACCAACCATAGACTTTCCATCACCACAAGGCAACACAATGATGCCTGATCGCTCTGCCATTATTTCCAAACATTTTGCTGAGGCTCTTCTCCTGATACGGTCGTGGCTGCAGTGCTTGGGGCTTCAATTTCATGTCGACGATGTCTGGATTTACAGGATCGTTTCTGAAATCGGATTCCTCCAGCATCGGGTAATTCAAAGCACTAGGCAGGCACCGTTGCTTTACATTTTCTACCTGAGAGGGTTCAATCTCGAAAGGGTAGCAGTGAGTTTCTTCATCTTCATTCAACAACCCATTATGACTGCCGCCAATTTCTCCATGTTCATTGTCAGACTGATCAATCCTGGCTCGACCAATGACTTCATCTTCTAACAACTTCTCGAGCACCTCTGGATACGGAGACTCGATGAAGTATCTGTTCTTCTTGAGAACAAGCAACACTTTGCCGCAATTCGCAGTGGATTTGTGTATGAAGTCGATCATCTCATTGGGCAGTTTGGTCTTGGACAACTTATTCAGAACGGCGATTATGGTTGCAGCCTCCAGAGCCGCGGAACCCGCGGCGGCGTACAGTGAATGTGGTGTCAGATTGTACTCGTGCATCGACTCTGGCCTGCAAACAGGCTCTGCAATGGCGATGAGGAAGTCGGATGCTTGTTTGTACAGTGGAGAGCACGTCTCGAGAAATATCCGATCATCGCCACAAGTCCAGAGTGGGCAATTCGTATGGTCAGGCTTCAGCTCCAATTTCGTGATATCCATGTCTTTCACCTCTCTTTCACCGTCGCCGTAATAGCCATCGGCAGCGGTGGCGGCGGCGGCAGCCTTGTACTTCTTCGTCGGGCGCTCCTTATGGCCATCATGATGAGACATCTTCTTTACTAAAATCTAACCGTGAAAAGGATTTATATAAATTACAAGACTGAGTACAACAAGTAAAAGAAATCTAGAAGAATAAGGAAAATATGAGATCGAAACGGATGCCTCCTAAGGAGGGAAAAGGGAGGGAGGGAAAAAGGAGGATGGAAAGCACAAAAATCGATGTTTTTCCCCTGTTTGCGAGATGGAAGGAAAGCAGGGAGGGAGGGAAAATGCAAAGAAAATGTACTGTACAACCAATCCTCCCAAATTGGAGAGAAAACTATATTCCTCTCTGCGTGGCCCACTTCCCCTCTCTTTTCTTTGTTTCTTTAATTTATTAGTTATTCTACTTTCTTTTTTCTTTTTTGTTCTTCTTTCTTGTTTTTGTTTTGTTGAAATTTTTATGATAAATGATTAACTTTGATGTCTAATAATAGAAAAATTGTATAAAAAAATACTAGCCAAGATATACATAATAAAAATGAGGAGACTAAATACAATACTGTTTAATCAATAACGTAACACAAAATTGTTTTACATCACGTATAACGTTATTTTACATCACATTCATAAGCAAAAAACTACAAATTTAATTCACAATTCATAAGCAATGAAAATAATATCAACATATACTCAAATTATTTCACTATTATATACCTAATAAAATAGCATATCCATCACAATTCCCAATACACTTTTTTCTTCCCACTTTCCTCCATAAAACAACATTTTCCTCTCAATTTCCTTCACCTCCAAATCTCCCCTCCCCTCCCCTCACCTCCTAATTTTCCTTCACCTCCCTTCTTTTTCCTCCATTCCTTCGGAAACATAGTGTTAATGCTTCATGGCATTGGACCCTTCAACCAATTTTTGTATAAATTTGAAATTTGAAAATTTCTATATTATGATTGAGTGAATTAAATATTAAGGATTTAAGGGTGCTTAAGGATATTTGATTGAAATTTGTTGAGTTGACAGTGACATGGCATGTTGACCATTAGTCAACGCGTTTGACCATCCAAATTAACGTTCAATTGTCGCATCTGGCCAAATTTATCATAGGTCGTAAAGATAGGACTGCCTTAAAGCTCGGGATACCTAAGTATGCAATCACCGGAGGACGAAGGAGCTTAACTCCAAAGAGAGTAGTTCTTCGGGTAGCGATTCACAGTACTTTCGTGCGAGAAGAAGCCTTTTTCTTCCTATTTCGTTATATTGACAATTGCGCTATACTACTATAATATGAGCATAGTATGCTCACAGTCGGGCAAATATGCCCCTATCGTCTAGTGGTTCAGGCTAGTGGAGGCTCGGCCTTTTACTCCGCTTGCCTCTACTTTTCATGTCAAGCGTACAAGTGTAGTTTAGTGGGATTTACTTCTAAAGACAGGAATTTTTTTTCATCTCCCCTGTATAAGTCGACGTCTTAACCTGACTTCCTGAGCTCAGTTGATTGTTGAAGCAGTAGCTCTGGATCGAGAGCTGGATGCTTACCTTATTATTTTATTATGAGCCCGAAAAGCGGGCGAAGGTTTATTATGAGCCCGAAAAGCGGGCGAAGGTTTATTATGAGCCCGGATTATTCCATGAGTACGCGTAGGGACCGTATACGAAGGATAAGATCATATTGTAACCCCTTTTCATGAGCTCAAGGGAAACGGAAGCACTCTCACCCTCCCTTTGGTCTAGCAGGGGCCCCAGGAAGAGAAGACCTAACGACTTACACCTTGCGCTTTTTTTACCCACCCGCTTTATTAAGCATAAATTTTTTTTCTGTTTTTTCTTCATTACAATAAGATTATAATAGTTTTCTAACTCGCCCCTGTTATATTTTTCACGGATGCTAATCTCGAAACAGACCTTCTCTCCAGCCAGCTCTGTCTACCCTTTGATCGAAACGTGACGTGCCTAAAGAATTTCTTAAATAAGACAGGGAATTAAGGCATATTAAAACGAAAAGAGGTTGTTGTGATAAGGCGAGGAATTAGATTCATCCCGCAACGTAAGCGCGGAGAATTCCAGCCGACATTCTTTGTGCGCCCCTTACCGTTCTCGCTCAGTGTTTGCAACGGCGGGGGAGGCAGTCGTAGAAGCGAAGCCTATTGCCTGTTTATTTTGATGTACAGTTCGGGTCAGGATGTTATAGATCGAGTCAAGATGCATTACAAAGTTCAGGCTATACAGAAATATTAACCCATTTTATTACTTCATACATTTTGAAGTAAAAATGCATTACAAAAAGAGTGTCTAGCTAGATGGAAACCCAAAACCACACATTTTTTTCCTAAAACAAATGGAATCACACATCACTTTGACTTAACTCATCACCTCATTACTTGCTACCTAGGGTGCATTGTAAGGGGTGGGAATGAGATACAAATTATTTTTTCTTGCAACCGTAGCTCCAAATTCTTCAGCCATGTCAAAGGGTTGGATTTGATTTGGGAGCTTCCAATCAAAATGATAGAGCAAACTGGCCAGTATAAGATACACGGAAGCAATCGCGTAGTTCATGCCCGGGCAGCTTCTTCGTCCAGCTCCAAATGGGATGAATTTAAAATCATTCCTCTTATAATTGAGAGACGTGTTGAGGAACCTCTCCGGCATAAATTGATCCGGTTGGGTCCAATGCGAGGGATCTCGACCGAGAGCCCACATATTGACAATGACTCTTGTTTTTGTTGGTATCTGGTAGCCACCAATCACAACTATTTCTGGACTCTCCCTTGGTAGCGATAAAGCAGCAGGAGGATGTAACCTGAAAGTTTCATTGACGACGGCTTTGAAATAGTGTAGTTCATCGAAGTAATCTTCATCTACTACTCCCCCCTTTCCATCAAACGCACCTCGCACTTCTATTTGCACCTTTTCCATCTCTTTAGGGTTCTTCATCAACTCGGCCATGATCCATTCAATGATAGTAGGGGAAGGGTCACCCCCGGCTAGGAATATGTCCTACATTGCACATGTACATCATTGTATTAATCATACAAATAATAATTGTGGGGAAACTAGGGCTGGCTATTTGGTCTGGGTTTTTTGGTTTTATCCGAAACCGGACCGGGATTGGATAGTAAACAATCCAATCCAATTCAATCTTTGGGCTTAGATTTGAGGTAAAAACCGTTTGGGACCGGATCGAAAACGGGATAAAGACCGGATAAGAGAGCTCAACACCCAAAACTTAAGGGTAATTTGCACAAACCTTTGCACTTAGTACAAAACTTAACCAACTCCTCACCCTTTCAGGCCTTAGGCCACTAAAATCCCCCACAAGCTCAATATAAAATCAAGACCGAATTGGGACCGGATAGGGTCAAGACCGAACTGTATCCAATTCAATCTTTGGTCCTTATATTTTCAAAAAGACCGGACTAAACCGGATCAATTTGAGCAAATTTAACCGGACCGAACCGTATAGCCACCCTATTCCCCTAGTCGATTCATCGACGTTTACTTGGTATCATAATCTTAACTAATTGACTTTGAATCAAGTTGGAAGTTACTATTAGCAAATATTATGTAAAATTAATTTTACATACCAAGATGACGGCTTTAACCTCAATGTGGTCTTCTGTGCACCTCAACAGCACATCAACTAGATCCTCTCCCTCCGTTCCTCCTGATCTTTTTGCTAAATGCTCGTCAATTATACCTTGAAGCATGGCATCTGCTTCTTTGTGGAGCTTCTTCAGCTGTCTCTCTGTTCCAGTGATGCGATGCAACCATCTGTGGGAAGGGAAGATGTCTCCCGTGCTGAGCCCTCCAAGCTGCTCGGTGATCCGACGCATCAGCGGCATGAAAGCTCCCTCCAGCTCCCGGATCCTCCCAAACGCCGTCCTCGATGTCATGGCTCTGGACATCGAGATCAGTAGTTGGCTCAAGTTCACCGCTCCGCCGCCGCCGACGCTATCCGCGGCGGAGCCAGAAGTACTGCTGGCTTCTGTAACAAGACACATGTAAGTTTTGGGCTCTGTCACAAAACACAGGTTGATTGAGCTTTTATAAATAAATTAATTTGAGGACACACCTGATCTCAATTTCTCGCTCCCCCGCTGATCGCTACGACCACGAATCAACCTCATCAGCTTCCCGACCTCTGCCTCGCGAATCGGCCGCAACGACCGGACCCGCTTCTCCGTCAGCAGCTCCGATGTGCAGATCCGCCGCCAGTACTCCCCCTCCGACGAGAAAGCGATGTCCATGCCGCCATAGAAGATGATGCTGGCCGACGGCGTGTAAGACCTGTACGAGAAGTTGTGGTCGTGGGTTTTGAGATACTCTCTGGTTGCTTCAGGGGACGACAGCAGCACGTTCGAGGTCTCCCCGAGCTGGAGATGCATCACGGGGCCGTACTGCTTCGCTAATTCTGCGAAGCGGTGGTGGATGAGGGCGGAGTTGGAGGAGAAGGCTAGCTGGTGGATGTTTCCGATGATGGGGAGCTTCCATGGCCCTGGAGGCAGGGGAAAGGTTGAATTGTTCGGCTTGAGATGGGATTTGAGGATTAGAAGTAGGGTTAAGAAGAGGATGATGACGAGGAGGAGGATTGGTGGGTTACTGGTGATCAAAGAGATTATCATCATCTCATGATCGTTTGAGTTCACCCTCTGTTTCTGAGACTCTGTTTTGCATAATATAGCAGGGGATTTGAAAGATGATACTTCTTCGGGTCTGCTCTCCTAGCGTTGGCGGACCCCCAAACTTTGGGTAAGTGACCGTCACAGCAACTATTGAAGAAATTGACCCCAACCACTAATCAGTAATTAACGACAAGTTGAAGAGCAAATTGTTAGGTTTCTTGTCTTATGGTGGAAAAACATCTTATAATGGAAAATGATGGGTATTTCACTTTCGAAAATCTTTGTATTTTGTGATTTGTTGTAATATAAATTTGAAAGAGTGCATTATTTGTGTATTATTTGAGAGATTTCCGATTAAAACATATGGTAGCACAAATTTGTCAATAAAAGATAAACTTAAGATTGTGTAAGCCATAGCTTCATCCACAACTTTTCTTTTTCCATCGAACGCGTCTCATTTCTCTTCGTACATTTTCCAACGATAGTCACAACAACTATTGAAGAAATTCACCCCAACCACTAATCAATAATTAACGAGTTGAAGAGCAAATTGTTAGGTTTCTTGTCTTATAGTGGGAAAACATCTTATAGTGGAAAATGATATGTTTTTCACTTTTGAAAATCTTTCTATTTATGTGATTTGTTGTAATATAAATTTGAAAGAGTGCATTATTTGAGAGATTTCCGATTAAAATATATGGTAGGATAAATTTGCCAATAAAAGGTAAACTTAAGATTGTGTAAGTCATAACTTCATCCACGACTTTCCTTTTCCATCGAACACGTCTCACGTCTCTTCGTACATTTTCCAACGATAGTATGTTTGTGGTATTCTCACAAATGTCACATGCCAAATACTACTTTTTTTTGCAACCAAATGTATTATTGGGAATCAAATACAACAAAACATGGTATATTTGACCCTCTTTTTTCTAACAGTACTTCCTGTTCACTATGCACGGTAAGGGATGGGAATGAGATACAACTTATTCTTTCTTACCGTTGTAGCTCCGAATTCTTCAGACATGTCCAAGTCTTGGGGTTTGATTTGATTTGGAAGCTTCCAATCGAAATGGTAGAGCAGATTTGCGAGTAAAACATAAACAACAATAGTCCCATAGTTCATTCCTGGGCATATTCTTCGTCCGGCTCCAAATGGTATGAAGTGGAAATCCTTACCCTTGTAGTCTATGGAAGTGTCGAGGAATCTTTCTGGCAAAAATTGATCTGGTTGGGTCCAATGCGAGGGATCTCGGTTGATGGCCCACATATTGATGATGACCCTTGTTTTTGTTGGAACTTGGTATCCATCAATCACAACATTTTCTCTACCCTCTCTTGGAATCGACAAAGGAACAGGAGGATGTAATCTGAGAGTTTCTTTGACGACCAATTTGAGATAATGTAATTCACCAAAACAAGCTTCATCCACGACTTTCCCTTTTTTGTCGAACACACGCCTCATTTCTCTTTGCACTTTTCCCATCTCTTTTGGGTTTTTCATCAACTCTGACATGGCCCATTCCACAACATCGGGAGAAGAGTCACCCCCAGCTAGGAACATGTCCTGCATCATCCGTGTATATCAAAATATTAATCAATAATTACGTGAAAGGATACACATACCTAATGTATGAGTGTAGTGATCAGAAATAAGTGATTGTTTACTCAGTATAAGAATCCTAACTAAATAATTTGATTAAATTATCTCGTATTTAAATTTTGAGATTATACTGGACAATCATAGCACTTTTTTGTTTTTGGGAGATAGATTATAGACAATATAGTGATATACTGATGGCTTTGGAGTGTTCCCACTCAATGACTATGAGTGCAAAAAGGCAAGTATGGTTCTTTGGAAGTCAAGTTGGACATTGCAAATGCATATGATCGAGTTGAATGAGGTTTTCTGGAGGCAATCATGACGATACTTGGGCTTGCAGATAGATGAATCAAGATAATCATACATTGTGTTACATCAGTCTCCTTTTCTATTTTGGTTAATGGTCGTCAAATGGAAATTAAGCTTCTACCTAAAAAGGTGACTCAGACAAAGTGATCACATGTCACCCTACGTGTTTCTTATAGTGGTAGAGGGATTATCAGGATTAATTACAAAGTGTGAAAGGGATAGAAAGATTAGTGGTATGTTGGTCAATAGAGAGGCATCCACGATATCTCATTTACTCTTTGTCGATGATAGTAACCTATTTACCCAGGCAAAACTACTCAAAATATGCACATTTATAGCATGTGTTTGAGCCTCTACGAGGCTGAGTAAGAACAACAGGTGGATTTGGTGAAATCGAAAAATATTCTTTAGCCCTGATCGAAAATATTAATACGTACCAAAATGACGGCTTTAACCTCAACGTGGTCATCGGTGCAATTCAAGAGGACATCGACTAGATCTTCTCCTTCATCATATGTTTCTCTCCTAGTTCCCGTCGATCGCCTGCATAAGTGCTCATCGATTATCTCTTGGAGGATCATATCTCCTTCTTCGTGAAGCTTCCTCAGTTTTCTCTCTGTTCCGGTGATCAGCCGCAACAACCGGCGGGAAGGAAAGATGTCCCCGACGCTGTACCCTCCCATTGCCTGGACGACCCGATGCGCCAGCGTCAGGAAAGATCCCTCCAGCTCCCGGATCTTTCCGAACGCCGCCCTCGAGACCATCGTGTTGGCTGCCACAATCAGGAGTTCGCTCAGGTTCACCATCCCTCCTCCGTACTTTGTTGCCACGACCGCTAATACGAAGAGTGACGAAGTCAGGAGTTGAAATTAGATACTTCTTTTTTATATATAAATAAATTGTCACAATTGGAGATTTCATTTATAGCGTAACAAAATATCAATAATTGAGCTTTGATTTAGCGATAAAAGTATCCTTATGGTATACATACATAATAATTTATTATATTTTTTTTTTACCAAAACTTACCTGTGTCGCGTGACTCACTGCGAATAAACCTCACCAGCTTCCCGACCTCTTCATCTCGAATCGGCCGCAGCGACTTCACCCGCCGGTCCCCCAGCAGTTCCATGGCGCAGATCTTCCTCATCCGCCGCCAGTGCGCGCCGTCGGACGGCGAGAACAGGATGTCCCTGGCGCCGTAGAAGACGATGCTGCCCGACAGCATGTGAGACCTGATGGCGAAGTTCTGGTCGTGGGTTTTGAGGAACTCCCTGGCCAGTTCCGGGGACGATACGATGACGTTTGAGATCTCGCCGAGCTGGAGGTGCATCAGGGGGCCGTGTTGCTTGGCTAGGTTGGCGAGCCGGCGGTGGATTAGGGCGGCGGAGGTGGCGAGCTGGTGGATGTTGCCGATGATGGGGAGCTTCCATGGTCCTGGTCACCTGACGGCGAAGTTCTGGTCGTGGGTTTTGAGGAACTCCCTGGCCAGCTCAGGGGACGAGACGACGACGTTCGAGGTCTCGCCGAGCTGGAGGTGCATCAGGGGGCCGTGTTGCTTGGCTAGGTCGGCGAGCCGGCGGTGGATTAGGGCGGCGGAGGTGGCGAGCTGGTGGATGTTGCCGATGATGGGGAGCTTCCATGGTCCTGGAGGCAGGGGATATTGGGTGGTTTTGTTCTTCTTCTTTGTTTTGAGAAGATGGGATGTGAGGATTAGAAGTAGGGTTAAGAGGAGGATGATTATGAGGAGGATTAGTGGGTTAATGGTGCTTAAAGGGATGATGATTATCCCATGATCATGGCCAACTTCTTCTTCCATTTATTTTCCTAGATCTAACTTCTCCCTCTCTGTCTCACTGTCTCTGTGTCTGTCTTTGTGTGTATACATATATAGAGAGGAGCACCTCCTCCCCAACCCACCCCAAAGTGACAACCTAAAATGACAATTTCGACCTAATTCGTTACCTGCCCGATACATGTATTATTCACTGGACATGACATGGACCGTAGGTTTATCATGTTGAACTCTCTTCATGGCCCGCTCTATTTCGATGGTCTCTGCTATCTATGATTGAGCAATATTATTATTCTAACCGCTCAATGAATCAATTTAGTTGCCATTTTGGTTCGAGAGCTTCCAATCAAAATGATAGATCACATTTTTACTAGGTAAAAGATAGACGGTCGACAATCTCATGGTTCATGCTTGGGGCAAATTCTTCATCCAGATCTAAATGGAATGAACTGAGAATCAATGTTTTTATAATTGGTGAACTTGTCAAGAAATCTTTATGGAATAAACTTATTTGGGCCTAGTACGAGGGATCTCGACCGAAGATCCATCAATTAACGATCATCCTTACTTTTGCTGGTAATTGATATCCATTCATCAAAACAATTTCTTGGGCTTCTTCCCAAAACGATAAAGTAACGAGAGTATTTCATCTTAAAGTTCCCTGACTGATATGAAATAGTCGTATGTGGTATAAGATCAACTAGCGAACCTCATCCAATAACTCGAGTTATTGAGATCAACGGGTTATTGATAAGGTATTAGAGTCTTCTGTGACGGAGACGTCTTGGTGCTCGAATCTCCACGACCTTCATTTGTTTAGTACGTGGAATGCACTTGTACAAACTTCAAGTCTTTATCAGTATCTTTTATTTTTTGAGGTATATTAATATATGACATAAGATCCATTACTGTATCTAATCTCCCCAATAATTCAAATTATTAAAAGACACTAAAATCTACCCACACCATTAAGTACCTCTCAAATGAATTACTATTGAGAGGGAATCTTCATTTCCCAATTAAACTTTCCATGTAACAATATCAAGATTTGTCGCCTCGCTCCAACCTGTATGTACTATGCGTGCGAGGTAAACCTTTCTGCAAAGGTCTTGGGAATTGAGATAGCTACCCATTCCATTGCCTTCCAAACGTGAAGAGGCGATTCACAAGATAAGAACGAAACAGAGCGATCATATTCTGTCATAAACCAGTTGCTCTCAATAACTCGAGTTGTTAGAAGAAGAATATGTTGAATCTTATACATATCCATATATGATTGTTAACCACTTCCTTACATATCCAAATATCTAAACGAGAAGTAGTCATCAATGTGGCAACCAAAACAATACAAAGATGATATTAATTCTTTAGCTTCAAAGGAGAACGACACATGGATATACAATAAATGAAATAGTCCATGTCTATTTAGTAGGTATAGCAATGAAGCCAAATCGCATCATCAAATCCCATAAGCTTATGTTTGGCCAGGCTTTTAGAAGTGTTTTTCGGTTTCAAAAGCTGAAGTAGGGCCAAACATCTCTAAAAGTTCGGCTTTTGAAAAGCCGAAAAGCACTTTTGTATAACATAAAAGCAGAAGCTCTGGTTTGGAGTTTTTGCGGAAAGCTATTTTGAAAATACAAGATTATCCTTACCATATTTTAATTTTATTTTAGAAAATATAATTTTCCTTCATTTATATCATTTTAAAAATAAAATAAAATATAAAATCATATTATTTAATATAAAAGAAATCTAACAAGATCAATTTTAACTAGTTTTTATTGTTTAGAATTTTTATTCATATTTTATATTATAAGTCCTTTATAGTCATTTTACACAATCTCTCATATTAAAAAACACTTCTAATAGTTTTACAGCCAAACACTCTACTATTTTTTTTGAAAAGGACTTATCTAAAATCTTCAGCCAGAAGCTGCTTCTACAAAAGCTACAACAGGGCCAAACTAAGCTAATATATTTCAAGAGATCATACAATAATCAATAGGGTTAGAGTTTGGTCGAAATGTATATTGCCCTTGTGATCATGGAGGACCATAGGTATCAAACATGATAGACCGAGCATATGACATCGTGGGTAAGTTGCGCGACTGATGGTCGAATGTCGCACGTTATTTAGCTGACTTATTTTTATATAGTCGGAAATCGTCTGTATATAGAAACATCTTCCTAAAACTTATATGTAGAGTAAGTTTGGACTTTGATGTTACTTGTTACATCAATTTCTACATAGCTGACGGGGTGAAAGCTATCATGAACCTCATTTGGCTGGATGGATAGAACTAGCTGAATAACCACTTGGAAACAAAAGATTACAGATCAGACTTAAAACAGTAAAACAAAGTCCTTACACCCGTAAATTCCAGTCACTAACAAATATTCTGTTTTCAAATCATAGCAATGTGACGAGAATGACTTCAAAGAAAAACTTGCAAATATAAAGACTAAAAACTATGTAAAAGAAATAAACTTGCATTATCCCACTCTATCAAGTAACCTAATTGAGTTTAGCCTTATTCTCTGTTGTTAGCTTAGCTCTGCATAAACTGATCCAAATAACACTTGTTAAATGGGCTGAACCCAAAAACCTTGTACTTGCTGTTGATCAGCAAGTATCCATACATATTGAAGCGTCATGAAAGAAGTTTAAACACAAATAATATATTTGACGACCCTTCTACCTTATGCAAGTTCATCGATCATATGCTATTGTAAATAACAAACCTATGAAAAGAATGATTAAGAATGAAATAAGATTACTTTAACTTTTGGATCAACAATATTAAAACTATTACTCTTTAAAATATTTATTTTTCTAATACGCGAAGCGATAGCGAGCGGAATTTTATTAGTTTGTGTATTATTTGAGTGATTTTCAATTAGAATACATGGTAGCACAAATTTGTGAATAGAAGGTAAATTTAAGATAGTGTAAGTCATCAAAACAAGCTTCGTCCACAACTTTCCCTTTCCATCGAACACATGCCTCACTTCTCTTTGTACATTTTCCACCGGTAATATGTTTGTGGTATTCTCACAAATGTCACATGCCAAATAATACTTTTTTTTTCCGACCAAACGTATTATTGAGAATCAAATACAACAAAACATGGTATATTTGACCTCTTTTTTCTTATAGTACTTTATGCTCAGTGTGCATGTAAGGGATGGGAATGAGATACAACTTATTCTTTCTTACCGTTGTAGCTCCGAATTCTTCGGACATGTCAAAGTCTTGGGGTTTTATTTGACTTGGGAGCTTCCAATCAAAATGGTAGAGCAGATTCGCGAGCAGAACATAAACAACAATAGTCCCCAAGTTCATTCCCGGGCATATTCTTCGTCCAGCTCTGAATGGTATGAATTGAAAATCCTTACCCTTGTAGTCGATGGAAGTGTCGAGGAATCTTTCCGGCAAAAATTGATCTGGTTGGGTCCAGTGCGAGGGATCTCGGTTGATGGCCCACACGTTGACGATGACCCTTGTTTTCGTTGGAACTTGATATCCATCAATCACGACCGTTTCTCTACCCTCTCTTGGAATTGACAAAGGAACGGGTGGATGTAATCTGAGAGTTTCTTTGACGACTGATTTGAGATAATGTAGTTCTCCAAAACAAGTTTCGTCCACGGCTTTTCATTTTTCGTCAAACACACGTCTCACTTCTTTTTGCGCTTTTTCCATCTCCTTCGGGTTCTTCATTAACTCGGACATGGCCCATTCCACAACACCAGGAGAAGAGTCGGCCCCAGCTACGAACATGTCCTGCATCGTACACGTGTATATCAAAATATCAATCAATAATTATGTGATGGAACACATACCTAATGAGCTAGAGATAAAACTAATTATGTAAATAAATAAATATGCATTATGTTACTAATACGTACCAAAATGATGGCTTTAACCTCAACGTGGTCGTCGATGCAATTCAAGAGGACATCAACTAGATCTTCTTCTTCCTCTGTTTCTCTGCCGGCTCTCGTCGATCGCCTGGACAAATGATCGTCGATTATCTCTTGGAGGACCAAATCTCCTTCTTCGTGAAGCTTCCTCAGTTTTCTCTCCGTTCCGGTGATCAAATGCAGCAACCGGCGGGAAGGAAAGATGTCCCCGACGCTGAACCCTCCCATTGTTTGGACAACCCGATGCGCCAGCGTCAGAAAAGACCCCTCCAGCTCTCGGATCTTTCCGAACGCCGCCCTCGAGACCATCGTACTGGCCACCGCGATCAGGAGTTCGCTCAGGTTCACCATCCCTCCTCCGTCCTTGAGGCTCGTCGTCACTGTCGCGGTCTCTGGTGGATGAAGTCAAAGAGTTGAAATCAGTGGCGCACCCAGGAATTTTACATAGAGGTGTCCCCTTTTAAAAAATAAATTAAATAAAAATAAGTCTTAAATAATTAATAAAAATTAAATCATTCTTAAATAAGAAAATACTCGACTCGTACAACTTTAAAAAAAAAGTCCAATATGTGTTTTCATATTCAGAAATAATTGTAGAATACACTCGGTGCCTACACTGCTCAGAAAATTGTCTTTGTGTATTCTACAAGACAATCATTCACGAATTATTCGATTTCTAAACTTGTTTTTTATGTAATCCAAAGCTGAAAAGACTCTTTCAACACTTGTCGTACAACCATAAAATCAATACAAATTAAGGATGGCTTGAATTTTTTTAAATTATTAGGTTTTGAAAATAATTAGAGATAGTGAATGACATTTTACTATTACACAGTGTTTAAAATCGAACAACGAATGAGTTGTACGCTTGCAGCTTAATGGAAATTATGTTTAATAAGAATAATAATAGTGTTCTAGGTTTGAATTACCCAAACTACCACTTATAGTCACATACCCAAACTAGAAGATGAGAGTAGGATAATCAATTTTTCAAATTTCAGGAGTGTCTCCGACTATCAATTATAATTTTTTTGCCCATACATAATTTATCACCGGGGTTGAATAATCGTTTTTCCAAAATTTAGGGGTGTCTTGTGAGTTGTGACACCCCAAACACGCGTGGGTCCGCCCCTGGTTGAAATTAGATGTGTCTTTTTTATTTTCGAAACATGAATGGTTTTAACTAGAAATTTCATTTATAACATAACAAAATGTCAATAATTGAGATTTATTTTAGTGATAAAATATCCTTTTTGTCACCCATATGACATTTTTTTTATTATTATCAAAACTTACCTGTGTCGCGTGACTGACTGCGAATAAACCTCACCAGCTTCCCGACCTCTTCATCTCGAATCGGCCGCAGTGACTTCACCCGCCGGTCCCCCAGCAGTTCCATGGCGCAGATCTTCCGCATCCGACGCCAGTGCGCGCCGTCGGACGGCGAGAACAGGATGTCCCTGGCGCCGTAGAAGACGATGCTGCCCGACAGCATGTGAGACCTGATGGCGAAGTTCTGGTCGTGGGTTTTGAGGAACTCCCTGGCCACTTCAGGGGTCCGGATACTATAACAACACCCATAGTATTGTTATAGTAACAACAGGGGTAAAAATGGAAACTCATATAAAGTAATAAATAAAAAATTCAATTATTAATTGCCCCACCGGCCCACCCCATACCTTTCTCTCTCCCCACTCGATTCTTCTTCTCCCCAGTTGTCGGCGCCATCAGCCCATCGCACCAGATCTTCAGCCGACTTATGAGAATGTAGACCGGCTACTCTTCACCTCTCTGTATCTCCACATCTCAACTCCGGCCGGCGTTCTCAGGTCTCGATGAGATCTACAACATGATAAAAATCGCAGCCCCGATCTCCTCCTCCCCAACCAGATCCTGATCTATTCCCCATCGACAACTTCTCCTCCACGCCGGGAATGCTTCTCTCCACTCCGCCAGATTCCCAACGACCACAATCTCTCCAATAGCACCAATAATCGTCGACGATTGAGCCAACGACGAGAATAGAGATTGAATTGGCGAAAATGGCTGGAACAGACGACGAGAACAGAGACTGTGGAATCTACAATAAGAGTATAGGATACAAAGAAGGTGAAGTCGGCGCTAGTTGTGTGGTCTTTCTCCTGCAATGACAATGATCGGCGAGGCGTCGACAATGTTGCGGTGATGATGACGGAAAGGGCGAGTGCCACTAATTGCCTGTTTCTGTTTAAATTTGCATGCTTTGGTTCCGGGCTTCTTGACCTTCAATTTGTTAAAATCCATTTGATGTTTAGTTGCTAATTTTCCTTCAAGAAGATGCAAGATATGTAAGTTTTCTTTCCTTAAGCTGCAGATGCAGTTACTGAAACATATTAAATTGTATTTGCAGAATTGAAATCTGTACACAGTTCATCCTCAATCAACACGAAGACTTTTGATGTCCCAGCATCAATGACTCTCAAGCCCCCACCTATAGATCGCACAAAATCATTTGATGAGGATGAATCTCCCCATGAGAATGAGATGGACTATTTTCACGATCTGTCAAGTGTTTTTGGGGGATTAATGGTGTTCAGTAATGTGGGGTGGGGGAATTAAGAAACATATTGTTACGAGATCACCCAGCATTGACAGAGTAAGTAAGCAATTAAAAAAAAATGGTTGTTTGTAGACGCCGAAAATCTCCTAGTGCAAACCACAAATGCAATAAAAACAATCCACAAAAATATACCGGAAACCTCCTAATGCAAACCACAAATTCGCTAAAACATATCAGAAACCTCACAAATCAAACCATAAATATTTTGAAAAGCACACCAGAAACCCCCTAATGCAAACCACAAACACGGTAAAACAAACCAAAAACGTCCTAATGCAGACCATAAATATATTAAAACAAACCAGAAACCTCGCAAAGCAAACCACAAAAGTTTCGAAAGCACACCAGAAACTTCTTAATGCAAACCAGAAACCTCCTAATGCAAACCACAAATCTCCTAAAACAAACTAGAAACCCCACAATGCAAACCATAACATTTGCGAAAGCACAGCAGAAACCTCATAATGCAAACCACAAACACAGTAAATCAAACCACAAAAAAGCAAACCAGAAACGTCCTAATGCATACCACAAATATATTAAAACAAACAAGAAATCTCACAATGCAAACCACAAAATTTTTGAAAGCAAACCAGAAACTTCTCAATGTAAACCACAAATATATTAAAACAAACCAGAAACCCCTCAATGCAAACCACAAAGTTTTTGAAAGCAAACCAGAAACTTCTCAATGCAAACCACAAACACAATAAAGCAAACTAGAAACTTCTTAATACAAACCACAAACAGGATAAAGCAAACCACAAAAGGCATACAAAAATATGAGAAACCAAACCATAAATCTCACAATGCAGACCATAACAATCGGTGGTCGTTGACCGGTCAACGAAGTTCGTTGACCGAACTCCGGTGACCGTCAGTCAGCAGATTCCGACGCCGATAGGCATATTCCGGCCCTGATGACTAGATTCCGATTCCGGTAAGCATATTCCGACCACGGTGAGCATATTCCGGCGACGGTGGCATATTCCGATGACAAAATAGCATATTCCGGCGACAAAAAAGCATATTCCGGTGACCGGCGACCAGAATCCGGCGCCCGGTGGCCGAATTCCGACGACCAAAATTTTGGGCCGAAAATAAAAAAAAATTTAAATTTAAATTTTTAATTTTTAATTATTATTTAAACATATTTTTCAATAATGACAATTATACCCCTGCTTTGATTTTACACTAGGTCAACTCATCTAATAAAAAGTCATCACAATCCTAGCTTCCTATTGGTTGGAGACTAGTGTTGTTACAATAACAACAAAAGGAGTGTTGTTATAGTATCTAGTCCCCCAGTTCAGGGGACGATACGATGACGTTTGAGATCTCGCCGAGCTGGAGGTGCATCAAGGGGCCGTGTTGCTTGGCTAGGTCGGCGAGCCGGCGGTGGATTAGGGCGGTGGAGGTGGCGAGCTGGTGGATGTTGCCGATGATGGGGAGCTTCCACGGTCCTGGAGGCAGGGGAAGGGTGGTTTTGTTCTTCTTCTTTGTTTTGAGAAGATGGGATGTGATGATTAGTAGTAGGGTTAAGAAGAGGATTAGTGGGATAATGGTGCTTAAAGGGATGATGATTATCCCATGATCATGGCCAACTTCTTCTTCCATTTCTTTTCCCACGTCTAACTTCTCCCACTCTGTTTCTCTGTCTCACTGCCTATGTGTTTGCCTCTGCGTGTATGCATATGTATAGAGGAGCACCCCCTTCCCTCCACCCACCCCCAAAGCGACAACCCAAAATGACAATTTCGACCTAATTCGTGCGACTTGATGATCTTTCTCGATTTATTCGGTATATAATGAAATGGATCATAGGTTTGTTATAAGATTGACTCATGTTATTATGTAAAGAACTCAATGAACTAATTTAGTTACCGACTTACCGTTTGTTTTGAGAGCTTCCAATCAAAATGATATAGCAAATTTTTATTAAGTAAAAGATAGAAGGTTGACAATCTCATGGTTCATGTCTGGGGCAAATTCTTCATCCAGATCTAAATGGGATGAACGGGAAATCAATGTTTTTTATTTATTGGCGGACTTGTCAAGAAATCTTTATGTGTATAAATTGATCTGGTTGGGTCTAGTACGAGGGATCTCGACCGAAGACCCATTCATTAACGGCCATCCTTACTTTTGCTGGTAATTGATTTCCATTCGTCACGATCATTTTTTGAGTTTCTTCCCAAAACGAAAAAGTAACAAGAGGATGTAATCATAAAGTTCCCTTACTAATATGAACTAGTCTCGTGTTTTTAGTATGTGATTTAAGATCAATTACTGAACATCACCCAATAACTCGAGTTATTTGGAATCAATGCGGGTTGTTGACAAGGTATCAGAGTCTTTTATAACCGAGAGGTATTGTGCTTGAATCTCCACAACCCTCATTTGTTATGGTATTCGGACCTATGCAAACTTCAAACCTTTATGAATGTCTTTCGTTTGAGGTATCTGTTAATATGTAAAATAAGATTTATTATTATATCTCCCCAACATCTACCCATACCACTATTTTAACCTCTCAAATGAATTACTATTGAATATTGATAGGAATATTTGTCGCCTGGCTCCAACCTGTACTATGCGTGCGAGGTAAACATTTCTGCAAACGTTTTGGGAATTGAGATAGCTACCCGTTCCATTGCCTTCCCAACGTGAAGAGGCGATTTACAATATAAGAACGAAACAGAGTCATATCAACCAAAACAATACAAAGATTTTATATTAATTATTTTAATCCAAAGGAGAACGACAAATGGATATACAATACATGAAAATTGTACATGTCTATTTAGTAGGTATAGCAATGAAGCCAAATCGGATCATCAAATCACATAATATATTTCAAGAGATCATACAATAATCAATAGGTTTAGAGTTTGGTCGAAATGTATCATTGCCCTTGTTACCGTGGCAGAACCGGGTCGGCCTCAAGTATCTAACATGACAGACCGAGCCGATAACATTGTGGGTAAATTGCATGACTAATCGTCTGTGTATAGAAACATGTTCCTGAAACTTATATCGAGAGGAAGTTTGGATATTTATGTTACTTGTTACATTCAATTTATACTTGGCTGGAATGAAAACTATCATGAACCTCGTTTGGCTGGATGGATAGAACTAGCTCGAAGGACAATTTTTTTTATCAATTTAAACTGTTAGAACGGATCGGAAAATTGAAATGCAACAAAGTATAGTATACATAGACTTACATGTTGCACTAACACCCTGTGTGTTAATTACGCCCAAAGGCTGGAGAGCAGTTTCACTATCCTTCCTAAGATACCAATTACAGAGATTGAAAATGTATAATAACACATTCTTCTAACAAAATAACCTAATCTAACTTGAAAAAGAAAAGGTTACATAACCATACCTAAAAGAGTAACACAAAACATGTATAAGCTCATACACTCCTGAATTAGCAACATAATGCTTATCATATGATATATTTGATGCTCATTAATCATTATAAAAAAACTACATTATTGTCTTTGATGTGACGAGAATGAATTAAAAGATAAACTTGCAAATATAAAACAGACTAAAAATTATGTAAAAGAAAAAACTTGCATTATCCCACTCTATCAAGTAACCTAATTGGGTCAAGCCTTATTCTATGTTGTTAGCTTAGCTCTACATAAATTGATCCAAATACCACTTGTTAAATGGGCTGGACCCAAAAACCTTTTTACTTCCTGCTGGATCAGATCCATTTGGGACTGGACCTTTTCAGGGCAAATCTTCATCAGGTATGAAGCAAGAAGGCACCAAGTCCCCCACCTATAAACTGTAAGCTCCTGAGACAACACCGGCCACTAATGCAAATCGCTTGTCGACATCGCACGAGAATCTTCGATTGAGACAGTTTACATTCAAACTCCGATAACTCTCAATATTAACAACTAATTTATACTCGTTAATATTATCCGAACTTTCCCGAATACGAAACGAAATGCGACCCTGTAGATTTTTATTTCGACAAACAGCTATATAGTTTAAGCAATGTTGCGAATACTAAGATGCTCACTAAAAAAGGTCCAAGGAATAATGCAATCCCAACCCAAATAATATGCTTAGCATTTTCATGGTTTGTGGAGAATCGACTAAATAGGAATATATTCCTGCAAAATGCAAATTGTCACTGTGCCTGAGTCAAAGATACCAGTAACAAATGGGCCCCCACCTAGGAATGGGCCTCAATGGGCCGTAACGGAGAAATGAGCGGTATCCGTTACCTTTCCTGGCTGGGCCCACAAGGACCACCTGAGACAGGAGAGTCAATTCGAGTCAACGGTCACACATCTATCACGCTGTCTCCCGAGCGGGTCAAAATCCTTCCCAAAACCCGACTCGTGTCACTCTCTCTCCGTTAATTAATTGATTAATTAACTGCCTAATGTGTCTAATCAATTAAATTCGGGGAAATAATTACGGTCTAAAACTAAAAGTAACCGTAATTAAAAAAATAATTATGTTTTTCTCTTACAAGTTACAATTCAGCGCCGGGACGACCCGCATCGGTTTCGGGTCGCGGGCTTCGCTTTCCGGATACACAAAAAATATTAATTAATTATTAGCCGTTATTAGTAGAAGAAGAAGGAAACAAAACAACTTTACTCTCGGAGCTTAGCAGGCAGGGAGAGGGGGAGAGAATCAGCCATGGCTGAGAGCGAAAGATTGGACGCTGCCCAACCGCAGCAAATCGACGAGCCGAAACAGCCACGCGGCGACGAAGGAGACAAGGATTTGGAGGGAGGCGGGGAGGAATTGGAACCAGTCTTCGATGATGAAGGGGAAGGAGAAGAGGGTTATTATGGTGATGAAGGTGGTGAGGACGAGGATCGGCGCGGCGAGCTGAGTACGGCCGTTGCTGAGGTAGAAGAAGGCGCTGGTGCTGAGTTGTTGAGGTCTAGGCCGGAGGAGAAGTCGGGAAACCTAGGTGCGGCGGCGGCGGCAGTACCGGAAAAGGATCAGTGTGTAGGTAGGCTGTTTTCTTCTTCCTCTTCCTGATTCAAAGTTTTGTGCTTTCTCTTATTTGGTGCGAGAATTCTGATTTCTGAAAGCGCCAGTGGATGATCTGGCAGGTTCCAGCGGGAATCCAGCTTCGGAGGCGCGTACGGAAGCTGAATTCAAGGTTTTTTTGCTTCTCCATTTCTTTCGTTTTCTTCCGTTTGAATTTCCATTATCGGCTGCTTGAGCGTTTCAGTTTCGTAGTTCTGGTTCGAATGTTGGAATCCTTGCTACGTTGTGTTTGTTGAGTATCATTACCTGAGAATTTTTTTTGGAGAACTTCCTCATTTCTCCTCTCCATCGACTAGTTCTAAGATTATTCGCAATTTAGAACCTTTGACTTGCTGAAATTTTGTATCTTCCTTCTCTCGAGCGATCTAGAGGACCTTAATCTCTTGAATTGCTTGAAGTTTTCGCCTACTTCACTCGTTGTGTGTATGAGTTTTGTGAGTGTGCTATTCACTTGTGTTTCATCCCAATCTTCTGTAGGAACAAGTGGGATCGTCACAGCAAGAAGCGTTGGAGGATGATCCACCACAGGATGCTAAAGCTGAGACTGAAAATGGCCTTCAGTTGTCTGTTTGTCCAGCTCCTGCATCAGAGCTGTCGCCAACTTCGGTTACCCAACCCGTGTCAGCTGGTACAAGTCCAACAGTTCCTGAGCAGAGATTGCCCTTGTCTAAGTGCACCAGTGGTCCTGTGCAAGAAGCAGATCAACCAGAGCCCTCTGATATTAGAAAGCTAGTCATACCTGTTCCAAAAACGGCTACCCCTGATGGTTACAACTGGCGAAAGTATGGTCAGAAGCAAGTGAAGAGTCCTTATGGTTCTCGGAGCTACTACAGATGCACGCATTCCGACTGTTTTGTTAAAAAGATCGAGTGCACTGATCATTGTGGCCATGTCATTGAGATTGTTAATAAGGGAATGCACAGTCACGATCCACCTCGGAAGAGCAATTCCAAAAGGGTAAGTAGGATTGCATCATTTGGTGGGCGTACTTCAGAGGATGTCATTACACAACATGCAAGTAGACTTAAAGAATCGGATCCAGCAATGCCGTTAAAAGAACCTACAGAAGAAAAGGCCATGATCGCTCATAGAAAACGTTTGAGCCCAAGTGGCTCTAGTGAGAATGATCCTCGTCAAATTAAAGAGGAACATGCCTGTGTATCGGAACCCAAAAAAAGGTAACATTTCTATCTCATCAAATTGGTTGTTCTTTGTGAAAGTTTTTGTCTGTGGTAGGCAAAGTTTATTTCTTTCTGCTGTTTTTATTAGGATGAAAATGGACGACCTGGATTGCTCAGGGGCTCTCACCAAGACTGAGAAGAAACCTAAGTTTGTTGTGCATGCTGCTTGCGATGTTGGGATCTCAGGTGATGGATATCGATGGAGAAAATACGGACAGAAGATGGTAAAGGGAAACAGTCATCCCAGGTGCATGTTGATTCTTTGACTCAGATTTTCGTAGCTCTGACCTAAGTTTCATTTGTTCCCTTAGGCAGCTTTCATACTGTTGCTTGTTCTGTACATTTGATGAATGTTTTAGTTTATCGAGGAAACATATGTTCTTACCTGCCTAATGAGCAAGTTCAGATACCTCCTCTGGCTTATCAAAGGCTGAAGCCTTCTATTGTGTAGGATAAACTCATCATTCCTAGGTGGCAAGGATGGTGTTTCCAATGGCAATTAGTTGCAGCCTCAAATGACAGTTTAGCATTTGAGATTCACATTCAGTAGGTATCTGATGACATTTTCACGTCATTCAGATATGGGAACCCGTAGACTGTAACCGCCTCTCAACGTACTTTACATTGTAGTGGTGGATCACACATAATATTTTGAAATCTTCAAGTGAACCACCAGCTTTTCAGAATATATGATGGCATAGTTTTTCTCTAAAATTACAGGAAGGCTGATATACATGATGCTTACCAGATTTAAACAACAAAATTGATGAATTCTCAGAATCACAGGGAATAATCTCTGTTTACTAAAATGATACCGGCTTCGCTTTAGGTTTACCATAGTTCATATAGGACAATTCTCTCGAGCATGTTACACCTTTTCAATCCTATTTTACTCCGATGTCCTGTCTGCAGGAACTATTACAGATGCACATCTGCTGGTTGCCCAGTCCGCAAGCACATCGAGACAGCAGCCGACAACTCCAGCTCCGTCTTCATAACATACAAAGGCATCCATGATCATGACAAGCCGGTCCCAAAGAAGCGTCAAGGCCCGCCTAGCGCTCCTCTGATCACCGCCGCAGCTGCAGCAGCCTCCATGAACAACGCCGTGCAGCAGCAAAATAAGAGAACCGTGCCCCCGCTGAAACCAGAAACCTCATTAACTGTCGGAGGTGACGAAAGGAAGGACAAGGCGGTCGAATCAACAGCTCGGGCTCTCATAAGCATTGGCTTCGAAATCAAGCCTTGTTAAAATCAAGCCTTGTTAAGTAAGTAACTTAAAGAATGGTGTTGATCATTCCTTCCTCTTCCATTTTTTTTTCTCGTTTGCTTTCCTTTTTTATTGAATGAGTGAATGTTGACAATGAGAAGAAGGAAGAAAAAGAACAGTTGTATATGAGTGTAGTAGCGGTGGATTACTGGCCCGTGATTCGATTGACTTGGGGGATAATATTAGTATTAGCCTTAACCAATCTTGTATCTAGCTGAGTAGTAGCTCATTACTGTGTTTAATCGAGATCTCGAGTTCGTTTGACTAATTGTAGTGACCTGTATTAGTAGGAAGAAGAGAAATTGACCCCATTTTTCTTTGTCCGTAAGGGACCCATGATCCATAATTTCTCATGGTCTCTGTCTCTGATTAGTAGTAATCTGGGTATGGGGAAAGCATGGGTTTCCAGCTTTTCTGTAGTTATGATTTTGGCTTCACAATCAATGCTTATCAGTTTCAACATCTTGAATCATTGAAAAGTAGAGGGAGGGGGGAATGGTGTCCTACAAGCGTGTCTTTGTGTAGGGAAGTCCTGTTGCCCCTCCTAAGGGGAACAGTTGTGTTTTGTGTTGTGGCGTGGCCTACCCCTTTCTTACCCTTCACCTTCAGTCTAAATCTTCATCATTTGGGCCAATCAGTGCTGAAAGTTTGAGCTGTCTGGCCTGCCTATCCCACCTAATCCCTTGGAAGTGAATCTTCATACAATAACTAACATACGATAGTCTCGAATCGTATCAGAACTAACGATAATGTGAACTCCTACTGCAGATAACCAACCTATGGGGTCGAAGACTCGAATCGGAAAAAACGACCATCAATTCAAATGCTCCCTCCTAAGTTGGTGGCAAAGCTCTTAATAAAACAACATTCATCCCCTGAGTAGTGCCACCAGGTGCGATAAACAAGAGCTATTACTGTTATGCTAACAAATTCGTAAAGCGAGGCTGCATTGCATGGTTAATTATTTGTGCCAATACTCGTACGATTTATTAGCTCAAAATATAACATCAAGCTAGTAGACCAGATGGACTCCCATTGAGATATTCTTAATTGAAGTTGAAGTTGAAGGCAGAGATGAAAGATTTGAATATAAACTAGGAACTTGCCAAACTATACAAAAAATCATACATTCCAAGTGTGGAGCAGGGCGGGCAAACCCACCTCCACCAACAGCCACAATCCCTTCACCATCATCTGGTTCTGGTTAAAGAACAGTTTTTTTTTTTAATCTACAGATCTAGAGTGGGAGAATGGAACAAGATTCTTTCCTACCATGATTGCAGCAGCAGAGCAGCAATTCATGAATTTTTCCTTTCTTTTTATACAGACAGAAAAAGAGTGGGCCCATCAAGTTGCGTACTAGCACAGTACTGAATCAGCTGCTATGCCTCCAAGCTCAAGTCGTCAATGGTTATGGAGATCTCTGATCCTATGATTTCGCCGTTCGTCTTCCCGCGACCACCTTGTTCTTGCTCGCATTCCTCTGCTGCTGCCTTGATGGTGCCATTCTCTTCCTTCCCTTCTGCCACATTTACACATTCCTGGAACCTGAAGCAGCCGATGAGGTGATCGTTTGTGATCCCTGCTGACTGCATGAAAGAGTACACGATGGTGGGCCCCACGCTGCGGAATCCTCGCCGCACCAGGTCCTTGCTTATGGCATCTGCTTTGGGGGACTTTACGGGGATCTGCCTTGGGTACCGGAATCGATTGACTATAGGCTTGTCGTTCACAAAGCTCCATATGTATTTGTCGAATGAACCAAACTCTTCTATCACCTGCCATGAATAAAACAAGAAACCTGCATTTTGTTAGCTGCAGTATTCGGTATGGCATTACTATTGTTTGTACAACAATTGCCAATTGGATAGGCTAGAAGAGCAACAGTTAGGGGGTCGTTTGGATGTCGGTTTGGGCGGGTTTAGCTTAAAATCAATTTATGACAATCCACCCTTAAAATCCAACAGCCAAATAACAAACGTTGAAATCTGTAAGTATCAAATCCATCACTTTCCAAATCCCGCATCCAAAAGACCTCTTAACAGTAATGAATTGTATATCATCAATCAAATCTGGCATCTTAAAGGGGAAGAAAGATTGCAATAATAGGTGGGGCTAAAGACTAAAGAGTGACACTAGCAGAAAGATATACTAACTGCATAATTGAGGTCAGGCTGTATTATTTTCCCTATACTATTATTATTCTGCAAATTGCAAAGGAAGCTCAGGACCACGCTTCCAACTACTTTTTCCTCCACCTAACCTTATTGGATGAGATGATCCTCAATCGTAACAGCATTATATGGTCTTTAGCTTTAATGGCTGCTACCTCGAATAGAGTTCAGTGTGTGGTCCGGAGTGCATTGATATGAGTCAATGAAAACCCAGTACATGGTCAAAGAGACAGTGAGCATACAAAAGGTCCAACAAGAACAGATGCGAAGGAACAGGACCTCGTACATTTGCAACTCGGGATGCCTTATGGTGAAATGAAGCAAAATCGAGAGAGGGATATAAGAACTTACCTTGGAGATTTGGCGAGCATTCTCAATGACCGCACGTAGCTTGGGTTCCGAGAGCAGGCAAGTGGCTTTGCTTCCTGTGGCCATGAACTTCTTCTCGTTGAACTTTGAGACAGAGATCGGATCAAAATCTGCAAAGACTTCCCTGGTGTAGAACATGTGTTTTGGTCAATACTACGAGTACTAACTGATATATGACGGCAATGTGGAAGTGAGAGGAGTGGAGAAATTGAACCTGAAGATGTGCCTCTTGCTTAAAATGGTAGGCCATGTAAGTTCAGCTAAGGCCCCTGAAAGGACAAGGAGCTCAAACAATTTTCTGCACAGACAGAATACAAAAAGTGACCAATTGTCAAACATTATTGAAAAGCTAAGGGCTTATTCAAAAGCTTGGCAAAATGATCAGGAAATTTCCAAACTTGTTTCCTTACTTATCGTTGTGTACAGGAACTCCCCATTCTTCGTCGTGGAAAGCTGCATAGCATGGATCTGGTTTTCACAGTAGCAAACCATGGTCAGTGCTAGAACTAGGAGCAAGCATAGCTAAACCATCATACTCTATTGGATGTAAAGGATCCCTTAGTTAGTAATTCAACAAAGCCAATCTTCATCACTTCATCCAAACACAATAGATTCATCTCATCCTTAGTCACAATGACACAGTACCATCAAAGGAGAGTTTGGTACAAGTTTCAACAGTGAATTAAGGTGCAATTTTTTACGTACACTATGGAAATGCAGAATCTGAAATGGCAATGCTGAGGTACTGCAGAAAAGTATACGAAATGCATTTAGGATTTAGCGTCTCAACTTCTATACAAAGTAATCATAGAACACTGAAGCACTCCCCATAATCTAACCATTTGTGTTTTGCTGTTCTAACCTATGTCATTGCCTAATATTATTTGTTTTAAGATTTCTACCACATCACGCAGACACTTTACAAACAAAGTGCCATCAGTAGTTCCAAGGAACAAGCCTGATGAACTATAACAGCACATTGTAAGGCTCTATAATGCCATCTAAACTCAAGCGTAGCTCACACCGACTTACTACAAGCTGCATACAAACAGTACCAACTGATTCGAGAACGGAGAACCAAAGAAGAACTTGCCTGTATTGGGTGTCACCCAAGCACAAGTCTTCTTGTTGAACTGTGATCCACCAGGAGAGGTTGGAGATTCAAGCCCACTATCAGAAGCAACACTCCTCGGCTTTGAAACTGCCTTCCTTCTACTCCCTGCACTGTACGACCGCACCAACCGTCCAGTTGAAGCCCGGCTGTGGAACGAATCGGTGGATGCATCGGACGAGCAAGAAGCATTCATAGACAGATTGGAATGCAACAACTGCTCGTGTCGACGGAGCAAAGAAGCTGCACTAAGAGAGTGTGATTTGGGAGAACGGCTGCTGCTGTTGTACATTGCAGTTGTCGGTTTCTTCTCTTCAGGTGATTTCTCAACCTTGCTCAGTGGCAATGGCTTGGGTTTCCTAGCATTCAAAGCTCCAGACTTGTTGTTCCCAGTTGGACCGAAAACCGGCCTGGTCTGATCAGAATCAGCCACATTCATCGACCTCACTCTTGGAGCTCCTCCAGACATTATCCCTTTCTTCAGAAGAGCAGCTCCCCAGTTTTAGTTTGGGGGTTTATCAAGAGATCTACCTACTCACCAAAACCATTCAATTAATCCACCTAAAGATTTCAACTCCCCCATCAGAAACCCACCAGCACAATTCTCATACAACATACATTTCACCGAGAAATGCAATTTAATGGCCAAGCAGCACAGAGATCTTGATAAAATTGGAGGAGTTCATATCCCACCATAGCAAAGCTCAACCCAAGCTGGAACTTCACTCAAAACAAACCCTCCACAAAAAACCCACCTAAACCCCCCATTTCTTTGTTCTATCCTCAAATCAAAGCACAAGAAGCTCACCTTCCGAGGCTAGGGTTTCTCCTCTGAGAAAAGGTAGCTAACAGGGGTAAAAAAAATCAACTAAAAGGGGGATGGAATCAGCAGCAGAGAGCGCCTCGAAGCATAAAAGATTCCACCTTGCATTTTCGCTGAAACCGAGATGAGAAAGGGGAATGTGAAGGTGAGGGAACAGGGGGGAAACTATGTCGTTTCAGTGTACCAGTAATGAGTAAAGCTGCTGACACATTCTCAGTATCTTCACTATCCTTCCGGCCCAGAAGTGGTCTGCAAAGCTCGTCCCTTTCTTTTCCTGCTTTCCTTCGGGTTTCCTCTGTTTTTTCCCGAGAAAGTTTCGAAGGGAGGGAAAAATGGTTGGTGGTCGAGAAAGATTGGAGCTTGATCTGTGGGGGGATTGGGAGTTTTAAATCTACGAAGCTTTCTGCAATGGAGAGAGAGAGAGGAACAGGGGAGTGAAATGCAGTGAGTGAAGAAGAGAGAGAGAGAGGTTGTGTACTGTGGAGTAGAAACTTGGTGGATTTTGTTTTACCGGCTATTACCGGTTGATGCCTTGTGCCTTTCTTCTCTCTCACTCCCCATCGGCCCATCCTTTCAGGCTTTAATTTCTATAATAATAATAATTTCTAGAAAAACAGAATAAAAGTTTACAAAGAACTTATACATACAATGGAATGCATATGAAATATAAAATTTCAAGTTTTTTTAATAGATGGATGAAAGTAATCAAATCCTAACAGCCTGTTTGGATACAAATCCGGAAGAAATGGAAATAGAAATGAAATTTTTATTTTTTATTTTTATAGAATTCCATTTTCAATTCTAGTGTTTGGTATAATTCCTACAACTATGAAAATGAATTGTACTTTTAACCATAATAAATAATGTAATATGTTTGTTTTATTTTGAGAAATGAAATATGAATGAGAGAGAAAGAGAGTAAAATTATAGTGGGTGAATAAAATAATAAAAAGTATTGATGAGTCCCACTAATTCCGTCTTCATTCTCCCAATTTCTATCACTTTTGATAGGAATTGTAATTCCCAAATTTTAGACCCAATGGAATTCAATTATCAACCTTTTTATTATTTCAAACATAATATATGGAAATGGAATTGGAAATGGAATTCTAATTCCTTACTTTTTTTATCAATCCAAACAGGTTGTAAAAGATTTGATATCTTAAAAAGGTCATACAAAAATCAAATACACTACAATGGTTATATAGAATTTAGAAAATACACAAGGATTGAACATAAATTGTATGACAAAGTCTTAGCTAGATAATTATCAATGTAATATATTTTACGAGTAAGATTTGGGTAAATCCAAAACGATGTAGTCGACTCGGTCTACTGAGAAGATTTAAATCACCTAATTATAGTGAATGTTGTATCATAATAATATGTTAATGGAATATAGAATAGACAAGTTTACAAGAGAGAATTAAAATGATCACCCTCAGCTCCTAATAACTCGTGTATAACGAATCGAAGCTCGAATCCCCATAACTGATTGTTTGCCTTTCCCCTCATTTTTTGCTGTGATATCTTATATTCGTTGATAAGTCTTCCAACATCCTGGTTATCATTCAACATAGCTATTATTGTGATATTATGTAATAACTTATTTTTAAATATGTCATAGTCTTGATTAGTGTTTTGTTTTAATACAACACAAAGAAGACATAGCAAAAAGAATATTCCTAAAATATAAATGTGTTTGGTTGTTAGGTTTGGCCGTTAGGGAAATTGAACATTATTATTGTGAGATCAATCAAGAGGAATAAACTTATCATCATCACCCTCTTAGTTGACTTCTTTGTTGCTTTGGTAAGAAGTATCTAGTTTAAACGGAACCGTTGTAATCCATTAGTTGAAGTACTCAAGCTAAAACTCAGATTTCAAGAGGATCTTCATTAACAACAACAAGCCTATCACTCTTAGCTCAAGCCAATGATTCCTTTCATTCTCAGTCGATTTCATAGACCCCCAAAAGTCAATTGCTTGGAACATTCTTTCAAGCAAGTGTCTCTTCATTTAGAGCAACCTAGAACCCTATTCCTATGTTCCCTGTCAGCAATTGGGAAATGATAAGAAACAGGAAAAGTAACAGTTGGGAAAGTGACATTATGGAAGTTCTTCACCCGGGGGATAAAAGGACCATATACCTCATCAATCATCAATTTGTTAAGCTGAAGAAGGAAAACAAGTTCATGCAGATTCACCACATTAAACGGGGAAGACTACAGTGCATGCTTTGACCAGATCGACAGTAAAGACTTGAGACTCTCGAAGTTCGAATGCCAGTGATACGTTGAATAGTTACGGCTTACAACACCCGGAAACTGCACCTGCAAAGAATGCAACGGAGAACCTAGAATTCAGTAATGTTGGGGATCATTCGGGAAAGAAGAGGAAGGGAAATATGGAGATCAATATCCCGCGGGAAGGCAATGCGGAATTGACAAAAGAATGGTGGACTTACCCCAACAAGCCTCTGCCTTCCCATGCTCTTGGAGTCACGGTCAAGTTGATCGGGGAGCCTTGCCTTAGTACGACCACGGATACTGCTTTATCTTGGTTGGCCTGTGCCTCGGAAGCCAGCTTCTGCAGAAGATTCTCACCAGCTTGATACTGGACATCGCCGAATTTAACAATCTGATCTCCGAGCTGTAGACCATCTTCAGCAGTTGGGGATGCATCAGCTATCTCATCGATCACTGCAAATGGTATGTTGATGAAGGGATCCATATCCATGGCTGCAGATGCAGCTGCGTTGTCGCTTGATGCGTTTAGACTACTTGATGTCTCATTGTTACCTTGAAATAAGGCAGAAGTGTCAGGAAAATAGATATTAGACATACGGTAGTACTGCCCTAATCAAGCTGTAGTAACTATTCTAAGGAGATCAAGAGGGACCAAGGATATTCTCATCAAGAAGATTCAAAGTTCTATGGGCTACCTGAGTCTCCAGGGCTAGAAGATTTAGGTGCAAGCCTTGCTGAATGCAGAATTTCTATGCTTGCCTCTATCTTTTTAGTAATCTCCTTGTGATCGTTTCGCAGCTCTGCAATAACATCGAAAAATCAATTTTGCGAGCAATCTCTTCTGCTTTGTTTTAACGACTTAATCAAAAGGTACTCACAAAGCAATTTACCGACAGCATGCATCTTTCCAAGCATGAGCATGAAGATATGAACTTTCCTAGTTCTGTACAGAAACTTGAAGCAAGAATAAAGGAGAAGCATGTTATGTACCTGCCAGACGATGCCGGTCTGCTCTAACCACTGGAATGTCTATATCAGTCCGTGGAAAACCCTACAACACCATGGAAATAGAGAAACCATAGATAAGCCACCCAAGTTGTGAATACATGTCCAAGCCATTAATTAGAAAGGTAAGGAACCGATTAGAAAGATCAATTGGGCAGAAAAATCAGCATTTGTCTTCAGATTCATGAGCTGCAACAAAATCCTAAACCTAGAAAACTCCATAAACCTTAAACTTAAACCATAGGAAGTTTCTCATCCATCAATCTAAACAAAGAAGGAACTCACCACCACACCACATATCTCAGCTAGCATAAGGTCAGAATCACACAATAGAACTTCTACATTCAGCAAAACCGGGCTTCATCCAGCTTCTATCAGATTCTAAGAATCCCCCAAAATCAGGTTAACAGAAGCTCAGCTAAAAGCTAACAGCTCCAACTACACTAAAACAGTTAAAGTAATCACGCCCCGTTCCTCTAATCCCCAACAAAATCAATCACAGAGCCAAAGAAGTAAAAAGTTACGAACTTTCAGCTCGATGAAGCATTTTTTTACCTCCGAGTCGACGAGGTTGCCGGAAAGTCCAGGGCCGCCGGGCTGGGTGAGACGGTAGATGATGCCGTTCATCTCCGACTCGATCGCGCTCCTCTTCTCCATCAGCTTCATCGTTTCCGCTTTCACGTTCGCACCCACCATTGTCAGTGGTCAGAAATCCCTCAACTTCACCTGTCCGATCGCGTTTCCTCTGCCGGAGAATTTCTAGGGTTTTTGGGTATATATAAAAATCCTGTCTTGTAAAAGAAGAAATAGATTACGGTTAGAATTTGGATTCAGCGGTGAATTTAGACCCAATCCGAACCGAACCCACCATTGCTCAGCTGGTCAGACCGGTTCCGAGTCGAGTTGGCGCCGTCCGCCTTTATCTCTATCTCATAGGCCTGAGTAGAGAGTTTTGCTGACTGCTGCGCAGTGGGGTTTCACTATAAAATCAATAGGCTCCCCCGCAGCGGAAAAAATGGCAGGTAGTCTTTTACACTCCTTCGCCACTTCCTTCTCTTCTTGTTCGTCTTCGTCTTCTTCCCGTCTCCTTCTCTCCCATTCTCCTCCCTCCTTGTTCTTGACGAGCTTCCGTCGGTCCGCCGCTGTTGCTGCTCCCGGGGTTCGATTCTCGCGTGTCCTCTCTTCTTCTTCTTCGTCGTCTTCATCTTCTCGCTCGCCGTTGTGTTATCGGAGAGGACAGAGGAGGCTTATGGCGCACTCAATTGCTCGGGCAACTCTGGGGCTCACTCAGCCCAATGCCGTCGATGTCCCGAAGGTCTGTTCTTTACTCTGTCTCTATCTTTCCTTCCTCGGGAAATGATGAAAGTCCGGTTCTTTGTTGGTCGTTTTGGTCACCGATTGGTTATCGATCGATTTGTTCTGTGGTCTGCTGTTTTCTCCTTGTTTTAATCGAGTGCGGCGAATTGGGTTTCCTTGGAATTGCTGGTTTTGCTTGATTGGGTCTCCTCTCTGCAGCTCTTGGTTGTATGATGTGATTGAAAGCTCTGATCTTTGCTTTCTTCTTGGCCCGATTGTCAGTTTTAGTTGTTTGTTAGTGGCTCGGTAATGTGTTCTGGCTTATTTTATTTTGAGGAAGTGTGAATTCTATGGGGGGTATTGAGGTGAAGTGTTGGGATTATACTGAAAACAGTCTGCCATGTGTTTGTTTTAATTCCTCAAAGATCGCATTCGCTGCGAAAGAGATCAATGCGGTGGAATGGAAAGGAGATTTACTTGCGGTTGGTGTCACCGAGAAGGACATGGCTAAGGATGAGAGCTCGAAGTTCGGTAACTCACTTCTGAAGAAGCTCGATTCCCAGTTGGGTGGTCTACTGAGTGAAGCCTCTTCCGAGGAGGATTTCACAGGAAAAGCTGGTCAGTCAATGGTGCTTAGGCTTCCTGGTCTGAGCTCCAAAAGGATAGGCTTGATTGGTCTTGGACAATCTAGCTCGACCACATTTGCTTTCCGTGGCTTTGGTGAGGCTTTTGCTGCTGCTGCCAAGTCTACTCAGGCTAACAGTGCTGCTGTTACCCTTGCAACGACGGACAGCATATCAAACGACTCAAAGCTCAGCACTGCTTCAGCAATAGCATCCGGTACTTGTTTTAAGGAATTGCGTTAGTTTTCTTGATTGGTAAGCTATTTTGTATAGAGTTGGAGCTGACTTTTGTTTGGATCGGTGGGATTGGTGACAGGGACTGTGTTGGGATTGTACGAGGACACTAGGTACAAGTCAGAAGGGAAGAAACCCGTGCTTAAATCTGTTGATTTCATTGGTCTTGGAAGTGGAGCTGAAATAGAGAAGAAGTTGAAATATGCTGAAGACGTTTCCACCGCTGTAATTTTTGGGAAAGAGCTTGTGAATTCCCCAGCTAATGTTCTTACTCCTGGTTAGTGTTAATTAATTTTTTGACAAATTTCCTAATTCGTAGTTGTGTCTTCAATACCTGTGCATGGTAGCAAGGTGTATTTATGTGGCATCCAGTTTAATCACATTTGCTCAATGACTTTTTGTGTATTCAGCTGTACTGGCTGAGGAAGCTTCCAAGATTGCTTCCACATACAGTGACGTTTTCACTGCTACTATCCTTGATGCCAAAAAGTGTGAAGAATTGAAAATGGGATCCTATCTTGGCGTTGCTGCAGCATCGGCAAACCCTCCTCATTTCATTCATTTGTGTTACAAGCCTTCGAGTGGACCTGTTAAAACCAAGCTGGCATTGGTTGGAAAGGGATTGACTTTTGACAGGTGAGAGATAGTTGTTCCGTATTGTTCCTTTATTAGAAAGCATTTGCCAATTATGTTCTTACTAGTTTTGGTAAAGTTTGCTATGTGATTCTTTTGTTTGGCATCATTCGGTGAGTAACTGGTAACCTTTTTGTGATCAAATAAACGAACTTTGCATAAATGCATCAGATGATGCATTGTATAGTTGTGTTTCCAGTTTTCGATTCCACTACCATGTCTGAAAAAGTTGTGTTTTATGTCTCCAGTGGTGGCTACAACATCAAGACAGGAGCAGGCTGTTCCATTGAGCTCATGAAATTTGACATGGGTGGTTCAGCAGCTGTTCTTGGTGCAGCAAAAGCCATAGGTCAAGTTAAACCTCCTGGAGTCGAGGTAAAACATTCATATGTCTTTGTCATTTTACCTTGGTCATATTCTTAGTACTTACAGAATCATTGGTTCTTGTAGGTTCACTTCATTGTTGCAGCTTGTGAGAACATGATCAGTGGGACTGGTATGAGGCCTGGGGATGTAGTCACAGCATCAAATGGGAAGACAATTGAGGTCTATACATCCTCCTTTTCCTCTCTGCTATGGAACCCCTCCTTTTGGTTTATCGAGTCGACAGTTGACAACCTTGCTGACACCTAGGTTATCTGGTATATGACAGGTGAATAACACTGATGCTGAGGGCAGGCTAACACTTGCAGATGCATTGGTTTATGCATGCAATCAGGGTGTGGAGAAGGTACTTTCAAAACTTTATATCAACTCATATTGATATGCAATGCTTTATTGCCTCACATTGATCCAGATGTCTGTTTCAGTTTCTGATTGTTTACTGTTTCTGAATCATTGACTCCATATATTGTTCTATAGATAATTGATCTGGCGACGTTAACTGGTGCTTGTGTAGTTGCTCTTGGGCCCTCAATTGCAGGTATAACACAAATCATACACAATATCAATTCCAGTAGGGCTCGACATTGTTATTGTCAGAATGCAGAACAATTAAGTCATACAGATGAAAGTCATGTTCATCGTCATGCTTGCTTGATATTGTTTGCAGGTGTCTTTACACCAAGCGATGACCTGGCCAAGGAAGTATTCACAGCAGCAGAGGCGAGCGGGGAGAAACTTTGGAGGATGCCATTGGAGGAAAGCTACTGGGATAACATGAAGTCAGGTGTAGCCGACATGGTCAATACCGGTGGTCGTCAGGGAGGAGCCATCACTGCTGCTCTATTCCTGAAACAGGTAACTACTTTTCTCTCTGTCCTATGTTGTAACAGATGAGCAACCACCCTCAGCTCGTGAAACGACTTCTTAAGCTGGGGGTTTTCGCCTATCTCTCTCAGTTTGTCGACGAGAAAGTCCAATGGATGCACATCGACATGGCTGGACCCGTGTGGAACGACAAGAAGCGTGCTGCCACAGGATTCGGAATCGGAACTTTGGTGGAGTGGGTCCTGCTCAACTCTTCTTCATAGACACGCACAGACAAGCATCAGCAACTAAAAATAATTGCTTTAATGGTTTGGGGATCCATCAGTTTCAGGAATAATAGAAAATGAAAAGGGTGTTTCGAACAGCAAGGGGGGAAAAGGAGTGTTTATGTGAGGAATTTTGGCATTTTCTTTTGGCGCTTTGGGTACAAGAACAGAGTTAGGGACTCTGTTATTCCTTCTGCTTGAAGTTCATTGGGTTGCATGCTTAAAACCGGGAAATCGATTCCCTTTCGACATAGAATTTGGTACTACAAGAACTCTGTTTCTCTTCTCATACGAAATGATAATTCAATTCTCAACAAAATTGGTTCGAAACCGAGCTATGATTGTCGATCTCATCCGAATTCTGCATATCGAACCCTCATTGCAGATATGAAACCACAGAAGTTCATTCATACACCACTTCCTTTATTCATGCCGTCACCCATCGCCGCAAATACACAAAAAGAAGAGACTATCACGAAGATTTCACCATGGATTCCACAAACCCACTCCCAAGCAGCCGCTCCACGTACTTGCCCAAAATGTCGACCTCCAAATTCACCTTCTCCCCTACGCTCTTCATCGGAACCACAACTTCCTGCTGGGTATAAGCCACCATCATGAAGTTGAAGCACCCTTCCTCCTCCATCACATCCACCACGGTCAAGCTCGTCCCGTCGACGGCGATGAACCCTTTGGGAACAATGTATCTCAACAGCTCCTCATCCTCCACTCTCACCTTCACCCACAGCGAGTCCCCTTCCTTGACTCTGCTCACGATCTCCCCTGTTCCGTCCACGTGTCCCTGCACGAAATGCCCGCCCATCCGGCCCGCGGGCTGTACCGCCCGCTCCAGGTTGACCCTTGACCCGGGTCCCAGCTCCATCAGCGACGTCTTCCTCAGCGTCTCCGGGGCCAGCCCGGCGGTGAAACATTCGTCGGTGAATTCCGTCACCGTCAGGCAGGTCCCGTTGACGGCGATGCTGTCGCCGAGATGGACACCCTGGATGACGGTCTTGGCTCGGATCTCGAGCTCGAATCCGGCGCCGTTTTCCGTGGTGCCCAGCCGCTTGATTTCCCCCATTTCTTCCACGATTCCGGTGAAGAGCGATCTGGTCGTCGTCGTGGAGGAGGGTTTGTTGGATTGGGGGAATTTGGCGGCGGAGAGGCGGAATGGGTTGGGATTGGAGATGGAGGAGGTGAATTTGAGATTCGATTTCTTGCTATTGGGGAGAAGGAGATTCAGGATCGGCCGGGTGATTGTTGATTGCGATTGGGTTCTCCACGTTGGGGTGATTCTTGGCCCATTGGCTGGAGTTGTTGTGAGAGAAAGGCATGCCGCCATCTTCTTTGTTTTTCTTTCTTTCTTTCTTTCTTTCCTCCTCCCCTGTTCTCGTTTCCGTTGTTTGGTTTCTGTGAAAATTGTGGCGAGAGAGGGTTTTAGAGCGGGAAAAAACGAAGTGAGCCACGCCGCTTCCCACTTGCAAGCTGCAACAACGGCCTGATTCGCGCGTGTAGAGTCGAGCCAAACTCCATGACTCACACCGCCACCGAACGAAGAGAATCTCACGCTTTACGCCATTACTGGAATTTGGACTTTGGAGGATACTCCAAAAGAAAGAAGAAGAAAAAAAACAGGGGAAATGAAGGGACGGTAAATATCCATAACGCTTTGACTCACATATGAAATAGACTAACCCTTGTCCCACACCGCCGCCTCAGATAAACAATCGAGACGAACAATGCTCAGAAAAAAAAAAAATTTATATAAAAAATGGAAAAGAAAAGAAACTTGCTTCCAGTGGAAAGGAAAGGAAGGCATAAGCGATCTCCCAACACTCCACTCTAGTGTGGGCAAACTCTGCTCCAATCAAAACCAGAAACAGCTGAGAAAAGAAAACGAGGAAGAGAAAAGAATGGGAAAGATCGAAGCTTTAACAAAAGTTTGCGGCTTTGTGTCGCTATTCTTCCCCTGATTCTGATCAGTTGGTGGGTTAAGCTCGAAGAAGAGAAGAAGTGGGGTTTAGAAGAAGAAGCAAGTATGAGTGTTTCTGTAACTGTAATGACCTTCAATCTGGATGAAGATCAGGCAGCAGAGGATAGTAGCAGTAGCCCCAATTCAAGGGAGAAGAGGAGGGATTTGTGTTTGAGTGTCATTACCAGTTACTCCCCTTTCATCCTTTGTACTCAACAAGGTTTGATCTTTCTTCAAATTTGCTGATCGGGGTGTTCTTAGCTCTTCTCTTTTCTGGGTTTCTTCGACTATATTGAAAGTCATTTGTTTCCTTCCTTTTCAATTTGGGGTTGTTTGTGGGGTTCAGGAGTGAAGTCACAGTTGGAATATCTGCAACAAGGTTTGCCAGGTGAGCTGGTGACTATTCCTTAATCATGATTTGGTCATCATCATTTCACCTCATCAACTTCTGTTTAAGCTGCATGGTTTATTTTAGTCTAGTCGAAGTCAATTTTGATTTAGTTGTTTATCTTGTTGCCATTTGTAATGAATGCAATGTTCTATTTATAGATTGGGGTTGTATTATGTGTGTATTGAAATGAACTACTCTAGATGGAATTGGTAACTCAATCTTGGTAACGGTCCACTTTAGAAATTCATTAAGTTCCCAGTAATGGAAATGTATGAAGACTGATGTGCAGATGGTATGAGTCGTTAGTATCCGAGGTATTTGAAGAGATGCAGTGGCTAGCCAGAAGCAATGTGAATGTATATTGAATGTTGAAGTAGCTAGTGACTTGAAGTGCAGCAGCGATATGAATGTAGAGTGATCCATGATATTTTTCTTGGGTCAACAGCTGAACATGATGGTGGAACCTAGATTGGATACTTCTCCATTATTCAGATAGTTGATTAATCATATGTGCATTGCTTTAGTCCTGTGGATGATGGATTTTGGTCTCTGTTGTTGGAAGTTCACATTCGGCCTGCTGTATCTTCTCAACCTGGATATTGAGCTCATTATTCAGAAATGATACTGTTTTATGGTCCATCAGGTTATGATCAGTTTGGCGTGTCAAGGAAAGGGTTCGAGGATAGTACTGACGAATACTGCAACATCTTCTACAACAAGGAAAAGGTATTTATCTATGCAAATCATCACCTCCCTTTTCTTGTTAACCTTCCCTTTCTTTGGTCTAGCGAACTGTTGTCTGATTTGCATTCTTTCCTTCTTGTACCTGGTTAAATGAAGGTATAACTATTAGAAGGAGGAACGTTTTGGTTATCGGAGTCTCCATCTGTCCCAGGCAGCATATCATGGGGTGCTTCCGTTCTATGCATTGCAACTTGGGCGATATCCTTCCAAACTCATCTAGTTTTTCCTTATATGGCTTGTCTAGTTTACCTGTGTGCTTCTTTTCCTTGACATGGTGTCCACACATTCCAACTCCAAGGAGTTGAGCCCCCAGGCTTCCCATTCCAGATAGTGAACACAAACATGGACGAGTCGAGCCCTCGTGCCAGAAGACGAAGCGCTTTGCTCACCTGGCAGCACATCGCGTCTTTACCTCCTAGCCTCCCTGTTGTTTACTGCGGTGGATTCAATACCAAGAAGGAATCAACCACAGGGCGTTTCCTTCTCGGTCGATCAAGGTATGTGTACGTCTTTTGCATTGGCCTGAGTTCCTCGTCACGTTGCTTCTAAGCACGACCCCTTTAAATAATCCAGAGAGCATGGATCCATGGGAGATATGAAAGACGTGTGGCCCAATGCTCGAGTGAGGAAGAATGTCTCCTTGATACACACTTACCATGGATTTAAAGGTTCTGCTCAATTAGTAAAACTTCTGCTGCTCTTTGCTTAAGGTCTCCATAACCTTATATGCAACATTCATTTTGCATTATACTTTTCTCGGCTATCAGGTAACAAGCAAGGAGCCCTGGAGTTTGTGAAGTTGATCTTCCGAGCACTGTGCCTTTGCTGGGACAGGCAGACACAGGACCTCCACATAGATTGGATCCTCTACAGAGGGAGGTCCTTGGATCCCATCTTTATGTGAAGTGGTGAGCGACAATATCGATGGCTTCTACCCTTCCTCTCATTACCCTCTTTTCGTGGAGTTCATGCTTCCTCGTTCTGTGAGACTCGTCGAACAACCACCAGTACCAGCACCAGCAGGTGCTGGGCAGAAAAACCAAGCTGCATAATGAATCCAGGGTCTTTGCTGGTTCCTGAGTTTCTTTATTTTTTTGTCGATTTCATACCTCGATTCATTGATTGTTGCAGGAATGTCTAGCTAATTAGGTTGTTGTCTGGCCATATAGAAGGACTGTTTGTTGTTCGTAGGACCAAATTTGAAACTTCCCAACTTGTTATATGTGCTTGTTGGATTTTGATTGTCTTTGAATATATGTTGGAAAGAGACTTTTGGGTAGTTTTCTTCATAATCAAGATTGTGAAGTGGGAGATGTTCAACAAGTCTGGTTCTGAATTGGTGTTGGAAAATTGACTGCTGGTTTGTCTTGAAAGAGACTTTGGGTTCCTCAGTGATGTATGTATAAAGGACATATTTATAAATTATAATCTCCTAGCCTTTAAAAATTTGTGTATTGTACATGAAGTATTATGAAATCATAACTTTAGGAGGAAGACAGGATAACAACTTCAATAAATTAGATGGTGTTGGGGGTGTAAATATGGTACGGCCCAACTCGAACAACAATAGTGATCCACAAGCACGTATGGGCCCAAGCCCGCAAAACACCACAAAGACCCAATGAAAGCCCAATGAGGGGTGACAAGGTTTGTCCTATAAATATACTCTTAGGTCTTCTAAGTGATGGGGGTCTCTTCTCCTCTACTCATTTCACATATTATTTATCTCTCTACAATATCTCTCTCTACCTAAACTCTCCTTAAGCTCTCCTTATTTTCGATCACTATACTAATGTTGATCGTCGGAGTGTATATATCGGGGGCCCTCCCCGTCTTTTCAGAGATCCGAGGTCCTCTTGTTTCGTGGCTGAAACAATTGGCGCGCCAGGAAGGGGGTGAACCTTCGACAGCATTCTGTACTCTTCAAATGGGCGCCTGTAATTTTTTTTTGGAGAAAATGGATCTTGAACCTGTGATTTTCGGGGACTTTCAATGACTGGTTTGGAGAAGGAACGAGATTGAAAAGTCCATATCCATATTGATTCTTATTTCTTTCCCTCTTGCCAAACCCAGATCAAAAAGCCCAAATGGCCAGATCCACTTATTTCTTCTTCCTGTAACCATTTGAGAGGAAATATCCAGATCTAACTTCCTCTTTCAAAAGCCATCTGATTCCCTGGGTTTCCTCTATTAGCCATTTTTTGTCCTGCTGCTTGATTTCTAAATGGGAGAGAAAAGATGGCGCATAGGAAGAAATTCCGGTGGAGAGTTCGTATCCAAATACCCAGATCTGCCTCTTGATGGGTCACCCACCTCTTTGCCCAGAAAATGACGAAAGAGAAAGCTAAGTTTGGGACTGTATTTCGATCTTCTTTGAGACAAGCCCTCGCTTGAAAACATCACTGTCGTCCCATCGTCTTCTTTCCGCAACGTGAACTCGTGTGCCCAAGTGAGAAAAAGAAAAGAAAAAAAAATAGATGATGATGAGAAAGCTAGATCTGTTCCCACGAGTCGCACAAACAATCCACAAGCCCCAATCTTTATCATCCCATATCGCCGGTCGTTATCCGCCAGTCCAGTCAGCTCCTCCCAAACCCTGTCGTTAGCGTCGATCTCATTCTACCCAGCCAGCCACTGCTACCTTCACCATCCATTATCGACGGAACTTAGATCTACTTTTGTGGGTAGTTCGATCCAGGACGTATGAGGCAGGTGCAAGGAAATGGGTTGCTTGAGTGCAAGGAGGGATAATGGTTAGTGCAGAAACCCAGATGTAGGCAAAGAGGATGGTGGGAGATCAGTGCAGAGCCAGAAATCCGACGAGAAAGTAATAAACCCCTTGAGGCGAAGTGCTACGAAGTGAAGCTCCCACTCTCGAAGACCAATGAAATTCGTGTTTCTTGAATTTGGTGAACCTTGGATTATCCCAGAAAGAGAGATTGAAAAAAAAAATTATCTGATTCAGGCGATTGTTATTGATCGGAGACAGGTTGCGGCGCCGAAACGCCGATGAGAAAGAGATGCAACCCTACAACGGCCAATCATCATGGGAAGGAGAGAAGGCGCCTTCCGTTAGCCACTTCCCTGCGAGTTAAAAAAAAAAAAAAAGTTGAGAGTGCAAGCGAATGACGGACGTCGGGTTTTATGTTTACGCGAGCGTATTGGATGGGGAACATGCACTTGAATTTACCTAAAGAAGGTGCTTATCCGTCCGACCTTAGCGTTCTCTCCCGGCATGATTGAAACGAGGAATCGACGCCTAGCTGTACGAAGATGAGCGGCTGGTTAGATGGAATACAAGAAAAGCGAAGGTGGAGAGAATTGATGGAAAGGGAGGCAGCTTGGTGGAAGGGCCCATGCACTAGGATCGTTAATAGCTAATCCCTGAAAGCTAAAGGCGCCTCATTCTTGGATGGTGATTCGAACTGGCCGCCGCATCGTCGTACTCGTTCACACGCTACAATCAGGCGCCTCCCATGAGGCTTGTATCCATTTCCTCCAAATTGTAAGTCAGGCGCCTCAACAGCTACACAACTACCATGATTTATCAAATTATCGCAGGAGCCCATTATTGATAAAGAGTATCCGCATGGCTTCACCACACTCAAACTAAGCGCCTTTGCCATCAAACATGCGCCCAAACTTGCTAGGCCAAGCTTTGCCACCATCACGCCTGGTCTTAGTTTTGCAACAAATCAGAAAACAGCTCATTGACAAAAGCAAGCCCTTTACTTTTCACCATGAAACGAAGTAAGTACCCGCTTCCCTTGTGCTAGCGCACTACGTTTGTAAGTGTTATGTCATGCTTTGAACTACCTCGTTATTAGGAATCTTCTACAACGTGATATACTCATCTATATGCCGCTTATATCTTTTATGGATGCATCCAACTTTTACATTGTCATCGTAGCATTAGAAATATTTGCACGAGATTCGAAATACTCTCCGCGCCCAAGTATAGCGCCCGTGGTTGAAAATACGCTCCGCGCCCAAATATAGCGCCCATGGCTGAAAATACTCTTCGTGCCCAAGTATAGCGCCCGTGGTTGGAAATACTCTCCGCGCCCAAATATAGCGCCCGTGGTTGATATTATTCTATGTACCAAATGTAGCGCCCGTGGTTGAAAATACTCTCCGCGCACAAATATAGCGCCCGTGGTTGAAAATATTCTATGTACCTAATATGACGCCTGTGGTTGTAATACTATATGCGCCCAAGCATAGCGCCCGTGATTGAAAATACTCTCTGTGCCAAAATATGCACATTTGGTTGGAAATACTCTCCGTAATGCATGTAAGGTCTCTATGTGTGGTATAAGTGCTTACAAGCACGTGACTACTAAAGAGCGGGTCACAAAAAAGTCACATGTGGTAATGGTGGCTTCATGATCATTGAAGCACTTGGTATAAAATGTGATATGTGATATCTAAGGTGGCTCACATAAAGTGGGGAACACATTTGTGGCGCCTATACGTGGTTGTCAAGTTCGGATGTTAATGACTTGTTTTTTAGGCGCTTCAACTTTAGACTCCAATTAGACATCTCATTATCTCAAGGAATAAACCAAGTGTTTTCAATCACTACTTGAGTTATAGAAATAGTTATTGTATGAATTAAACTATGTTGAAACACTTAGTTATTATATTTGTGATTTTCTCTTTGTGTAATTAATATGGTACTGGAGGACATGAACTGGGGGACAAAACATCAAAAGATCTTATGTGAAACTCGACAAGTGGGGAGACTTTAGTTAGTCGTCCAGTGCACCACTGGGCGCCTAACTGGGGGACAATTGGGGATGACAGACGTATGCACATTCAAGGTTCTTATAAGGAAAACGATCTTCAATTATGCGCCAAAAATGACGTAACCTTGTTAGACATGAGAAGTGCAATAAGTAATTGTTTTTTGCTATTTGAGTTATATTATTAACCATGTTGTAAGTCATATTATGTTATATTGCTTAAGTCCTTGCATAGTATTTGTTGTAAGTTGTGCAATCAACACGATGTTGGGGGACATGAGCCAACCATCAGAGTATAAAGAGGCGAATGGACATCGTACATCATATGGATAGACTACAAGAGTTGGACAAAATGAAGACTTCTAGTTAGGCATCCAGTGTACCACTGAATACCTAACTGGGGGACAATTGTTGGGGGTGTAAATATGGTACGGCCCAACTCGAACAACAATAGTGATCCACAAGCACGTATGGGCCCAAGCCCGCAAAACACCACAAAGACCCAATGAAAGCCCAATGAGGGGTGACAAGGTTTGTCCTATAAATATACTCTTAGGTCTTCCAAGTGATGGGGGTCTCTTCTCCTCTACTCATTTCACATATTATTTATCTCTCTACAATATCTCTCTCTACCTAAACTCTCCTTAAGCTCTCCTTATTTTCGATCACTATACTAATGTTGATCGTCGGAGTGTATATATCGGGGGCCCTCCCCGTCTTTTCAGAGATCCGAGGTCCTCTTGTTTCGTGGCTGAAACAGATGGTATGTTTGGAACAAACTCTTAATTAATTTGATTACGATAGATCATATACCGTTTTCAATTTCTTTTGCCAGAATTGCTGAAGAATTTGTTTTGATTGGATTCCCTTGTGGAAGGAGGAGGTGTATCACAAGAGTGGTTGGGGTGGAGTGATCAAAATTAGTTAGCAAAATAGCAAATTACTTGTCCCATCAAATGAATTTTCAAATCTCAACCAACAAAATATAAAATATAAGTGACACCACGAAAAAGAAATCAATATTAACTTTCATTCAGCGCATTCTTTTATCCCATAACTGTAGTTTTATGGCCATTTTAGCTAAAGTAGGGAGACTATTGAACACATCCCAAACATTCGCAACTTACTTTTGTGTTTTGTAAGAACGAAACGAGTAGGTTGTTCGACGAAGCGTCGAGAACAAATCAAAAGAAACAATCTTTTGCGAGGAATGGTAACGTTTTAACGTTGCAACAACAAAGAAGAAAAATGAGTGTCGAATGCGAAGGGACTGAGTGAATTATGAAGGACAAAGATGCATGTCAAGTAACAGTTTCACCCTAAAATAACGATAATAAACATGTGTTAATAGTTTTAGTAATTATTAATTTTCATTTCCTTAAGTTCTCTCAAGTATTTCTCATATTCGTCTCATACTTAATCAGCACGAAATATTCTAGCTTGTCCAGATATATAGCAAGAACTATGTCACCTTCCTGAAGTGATCCAAATTGTCATTCATAAGGATGAAAATGAACTGAACACAAAAGTATTGGGGGCATTAAGACGAAACAAACCAAAATATACAACTGTCAATTTCAGTTTTTGTCTTTTTCCCAGGCAAAAATCAATATTTTAATTTCCCTTTTACCCGTATTTACACCAGTAGTGGCGCTTCCATTTTCTCGTTA